CCGAGTGCCGGGACAAACTTGTGTCTGAAGTCGAGTCTTTGCTCAACAGAGTCTCGGATTGGGGGCGACTAAATCTAGTTCAGTTTAACCCCCAGAAGACACAAGTTTGCGAGTTAACCCCCAAAAAGAACCCCTTTGTCGTATCCCCTCAGTTTCAAGGCACTCCCCTTGTTGCCTCAGCCAGTATCGGAATCCTCGGCGTCGACATATCGAGTGACGTGCAGTTTCGTGGTCACTTGGAAGGGAAGGCCAAATTGGCCTCTAAAAAGCTTGGCGTGCTCAGCAGAGCGGGACAGTATTTCATGCCGGCACACCGCCTGCAACTTTACAAGGCGCAGGTTCGGCCGCACATGGAATACTGTTCCCATCTCTGGGCTGGGGCTCTCCAGTACCAACTTCTTCCACTTGACCGCATCCAGCGCAGAGCGGCTCGAATCGTCGACGACCGAGTGCTTTCCAATCGGCTCGATTCACTGGCGCTGCGAAGAGATGTTGCATCTCTTTGCGTATTTTATCGCATCTATCACGGGGAGTGCTCTGAGGAATTGTTCGGATTAATCCCAGCCGCCAAATTTCGTGAACGCACTACACGTCAAACATCCCGATACCATCCACACCATCTGGATGCTTGGCGGTCCACCACTGTACGTTTCACAAGGAGTTTTCTTCCACGTACAATACGGCCGACGTATATTGGCGAGTCTGAATATAGGCTCTGCGAAGTTTAGCGCATGAACACTCGTGAAGAAAACTGTTATTGTCATTTTTTTTAAATATACCAATGTACAAATAAAATTTCCCTAATACAGTGACCAAAAATATCAAAACACTTTGGAGACATTATAAATTAAAGATTCAATTTTGATACCTCACCTTTCGATAGGGGCAGATTTTATCACAAACACATACAATATTATTTACATTTAATAATTTTTATTTATTTACACTTATTATTATTTAATCACTGTCGCTGAGGGGGGAAATTCCTAACATAAAGTCGTCGTCCCCTTGTGTACCATGTGAGGTACTTGGCATAGGTTCATCTTCGTAATCGTCGCTCTCACTTTCAGACTCACTTTCTGAATCTGAAGCTGTATTAATGATGAATAATTGATCCGTCATTTCGTCAATAATATGGTCGCTCTTCCTATAGTCATGTTCGACCTCTTGCACTTTTCTGCATAAAGCACTCCATTCATTCTGACCCATTAAATTTACTTTTTCTTGTATGAGCTCCATTGTCCGGGTTACGTTCCAGTCGACGTTTTTAGCGGCTACGTGCCCTTTAATGGCAGCCCACACCATCTCGATGGGGTTTAAATCGGGATGATATGGGGGTAAACGAAGGACATCGTGGTTGTTTTGTTTAAACATTTCATCTATTACGTATTTTTTATTCACGTCTTTGTTTTTTTTTATTAGATCGTAAAGTTGTGGTTTACGCATGTCCTTTTCATATGGTATACCCTTTTCTAATAACCACGATTCCATTTTTGCCTTCTTGTCATTAGATGTAGGGGCAGGATCCATTAATTTGTTGTGGTACGGAGCATTATCGATAACCACCACCGAGTTAGGGCTCAAATTTGGAATCAGTTGGGTCCGTAACCATTTCTCATAATTTTTGAAATTCATGTCATCATGATAGTCTCCGGTTTTGCTGCCAGATTTGAACATTAGTAGCGCGTTCGGAACAAACCCTGCTTCTGACCCAGCGTGTAACATCACTATCCGCTGACCTTTTGATATCGGGCGCTTTAGTCCTTGAGCGGAACCATCTGACCACGCCTTACCTTTTGTATGTGATGAGTGGGCATACGACTCGTCAGTGAATACAATTGGTCGCCCTTCGTCCCGTCCCGTCGTATTTTTTCATTGCCTTCAAGTACAAGATCCTTTTCAGGCGAATGTCGGTCTTCTCTATAAGAACCATTCTATTGGTTTCGGTCTTTCGCCACTTGAAACCCAAGTTTTTGATAATTGTCTTTAAGCTCGTTTTACCACCTTGAAAATTTATATCCCGTTTGAGTTTCGCTAGTAATTTGTTTATCGTCGGCATTTCTTTTTCAGTTTTGTGGAAGTTGTGTATGCATCTTTTTACTACTCCCTGGTCAAAATTATCCATATCAGTAATAGGTTTTGATCTAGACCTTTTTTTACCAGGCGTGCGGAATACTGAAAGTAAGCCCGAAATATTGCCTTCAGTTGCGATCCGCTGTACTGTGCGTTGGGACACACCAGTTGCGTTAGCAACTCTTAAATAAACTTTATCGACATCTTTTACGCCTTCTTCTTTTTCTTTTTTCATATATTGCGTTAAATCGTAAATAATTTTTCTCGCCTGGCGATTTAACACACTGTTATGTTTTGGTGGCATGTTTGGCGAATAATATAAGTGCTAACTGACACTTGCAAATAAAACAAATAAAACAAATAAAACAAACAAAACAAACTTAACACTATTAATAAAAACAAACAACAATAACAACGAAAACTTTTGTAACCGACTGTGCTCAAGACAGAGATAGCGACACGAACACGACACCAATGCTAACGTGTGACTGAGAAATATTACCGTGTACCGAGCATTGCCGAATAAGCACGAAGCTTTACGAAGTAACCAGAAAGGGATGTCCAACACGCGTGCCTGAGGGTGTTGTTTAATCGATTTTTATTCAAATCGATTAAAATTAAGACATAAAAATATATTTATTTGCAATTTATAAGGAGGTTCTAAATTTTCTCAAATAGTCGTTACTCAAGAAGACGTTAATAGATAATTGATATTTAAGTACATTATGTCTTTCAGCTGAGAAAATAATATGTTTTTAGTTTTTTTTTTATTTAAGTCGAAATCTTGTTTATTATCAACAAAATTCACTATATTTGTAAATCTATTTCGTTTAATATCTTATATAAACAAAAATCAATAACTTCTAAATAAAACTAATCGATTGCGATATTTTATGACTAAAGGGTCGATTGTGTTTACTTATGGTCAATCTCTAGCCTAGACCACCGCCCCCCGTACGTCGCCTCATGCCACCATTTTGTTCCTTAAAAAAGCTATTGCGCAACCTTCTGCGCGAAGGTCGGACTCGCCAAGATACGTCGGCCGTATCGTACAACCTCTCTGTGGAATAGTTTACCACCGGCGATTTTTCCGGACCGATACGACCTGGGGACCTTCAAGAAAAGAGCTTACTCCTTTCTAAAGGGCCGGCAACGCACCCGCAATTCTCCTGGTGTTGCGGTTGATCATGGGCGGCGGTAGTCACTTAACATCAGGTGAGCCGCATGCTCGTTTGCCCCTTCTTCTATAAAAAAAAAATAAAACTGGCAAGTATAGAGATGGTATAGCGGAATCCAACAGCCTTCTACGGTTTTTCATAATATGAAGATTGTCTTCTGTGAAGTGCCTTGAGCATAGCACACAATTTTTGGTGGGAAACCATTGGTCCCTCGACAAGTAGCGTCGATCCACATTTTTCCTTTTAGGAAACCTATAACATGTAGGTACCACAATTATACGCCACTATTTGTATAAAATAATGACTACAAAAGTAAACGGTGACCAAACAAATATCGACTTATAAATCACAACACTATCGATACACGTGCTGTCGAACAAAGACAACTATTTTTATTTACGTAATGAGTGAAAGGGATATTTCAAAAAGACATCAACGGGTGCTGAAATGATATCACTTTGCAACATTATATATCCAGTGAAAGTTGAACTCCGGTGCATTTGAAATAGGTTAACGTGATAAGAATAAAATTTACTTACCGACGAAATATTATGCCATCTTTTTGATAACTGGATGTCTTAGCTGACTTGCCACACCATTTCACTGCATAGGAAGCCATTTGTAATGTATTTTGGATACAAAACTATTTTTAAATTTTCAAAAACTCGGACGTGCCTACGGATCACAAACTTCATATGCTAGCTACAGCAAGTATGTGTTGCGCGCGTTTGTGGCCCTGTATGCGGAATCTATTAGGAGGTAATCTGTGAATGTGGTAGATATAAGGTGGACAACTTTTTTCTTTATAATTGTAATTGATGGGTATTGAGAGAGGATATCCGAGAGGTGTTTACTGCCTACAAACCACTGACCTATATATAATATGTAACGTAATTAACGCACACCCTCAGACACCCCAATTAGTATATTATGTTATAATCATAATACATACACTGAATTTTAGTTAAACATTTTTATGCGCTGATTATTTATCAAATTAGTTATACCAATTCCGGAAGAATGTTGTGGTCACAGTACAAATCCACGAACGCGAAGACTTTAATATGCTTGAAATAAAGTACATTTTTCTTCATTTTTATTGAATGACAGAATTAGTAATAATACAAATAAAACTGCACTCTTAAAAGTCTTATTGCCTTACGTTACGGTCCATTTCAGTTTGTTTTGACTGTACAGATTTAGTGTGACTGTAATTTATGTAGTTTTAATTATTTTTGGGATAAAAAATTAAGTATATTAAAAATGATAGGAATCGATTCAGTAAACGATTATGTACAAACTACTTTCTCAAAGTGCGTTAATTATGTTACATGTTGTATATACAAGTACGCTGGACTGGCTATACCATACAAAATGTCTGTGCCAATTTGAAGCGCCACTATTTGTCGTGTTGAAAAATAAAATTGATATAATATTATGCCAAAGTCTGTTGCCTTATTTAAATTGTATTATTTTTTTTAAATCTGTATTTTGAACTTTTAAACCAAAATCGGAAGTACCGTAAAACCCGCCAACTTTGGTTTTTAATTCTAACATTTTCCACTTGACAAAAATAACAAAAATTTTCTGTAGTAAAAAATATATCTCATATAGCAACATTTTACAACATATTGTGGAAAATAGAATATATTTCTGGCAATACCAATCATACGTTCGGTTACTAAGTTCACTCAGTTGTAGTATATAGTTCAAAGATATAGTTAGTAATCTATGGTTGGCTGTCAACAGAACAGTTGTCAAATAGAGTCTGCCGGTGGTCCCAAATTGTTCCTCGAGTATAAAGCTTTTTCGCGCTTGAAAAATGATCCAGGTGAGTGGAATTTTTGATATGTTATTAAGTGAAATCTTGGTTTTAATATGGTGTACATCTCAAATCAATATGAGTCCTCTATTAATCAGTAATTCAAATAGAATGATGGCCAATGTTACAATCACTTGTATCAAACATGTGCCGTTAACTTTGGCCACAGAAAAATAATACTAGTGCTGACCACTGATAATTTTAGAATTCGGTACCTACCTACTCATGAGTTGCTGGTACTTTTTGCTTATAACTTAGTTTTACAATCAGTTTTGGTATAATACTGTTGCATGAATAAGTCAACTAGCGCCATCTAGTGTCAGGAACGAGAGCGAGGGGAGCATTGAGAAAATGACATCACAAATCGCTCAACTGACAGCGCCTAGTCGAAACTCGAACGCTCGGTACCTTCCGCGTGTTTACTTGAACATTCTGGATATTTCTTTGCTAATTCAAATATATAGGCGCTGCAAGATGCGATCGCAGTAGAGTTGAACTCAGCGACACAAGCGAAGCTTCGGAGTGGAATTAAGTGAATTAGTGTGTTTAAATTATTAGTGTTTTAACTTTAATTGTGTAAAGTAAATTAAAGTGTTAATTTAGGTAATTTTATCGGCAATTTTTATTGTCACGAACCTCAAGCTCGTAACAATTGGTGTCAGAAGTGGGATAAAATCATGCCGATTTTACCTAAGGAGGAAACGGAGGGTGTCCGTACCCGAAATCAACGCCAGCAGGAGACGGACCAAAGAAGATTTGGTGGTGCAACGCCGCTGACGTCGGAGGGCCAGCCGCCGGCTGCAGGCCCGTCAGTAGCTCCTCCATCTGCAGCACCCGATTTAGGTGCTCTGATGGTGATGCTGCAGGAACAGGCCCGTTGGTTGAAAGAGCAGCAGGAGGAACAGGCCCGCCGACAGGAAGAGCAGATGCTCCTCGTGAAGGACATCCACGCTAACTTTGGGAAAGAGATTAGGGAGGTGAAGGATAGGGTTGCTCAACATGACAACCGCCTGTCGGAAGCTGAAACCCAAATCAAGGAAGCTAAAACCCAAATCGACCAAGTAAACAATCGGGTTGATTACGTGATGGCTGACGTGAAGAAAACGCTGGACGACCTCAAACTGGGGGATGGAACTACAGCTCCCGTAGTAGCTATTACACCTTCGCTACGTGGGTTCAAGGTGCCACCATTCGACGGGACTTCTTCCTGGTCAGCCTACAAAATCCAGTTCGAGGCTGTTATGAAGGCGAACGGCTGGAATAAAAGTCAGGCCATGACTGCTCTCACACTAGGCCTGCGCGACCAGGCCTTAACAGTTCTGGAAGCTCTCGGTGAGGAAGTGACTTATGAGCAACTCCTTGAGGCATTGGAGGCGAGATATGGCGACGCTCACCTGGAACACGTCTTTCGTGCGCAGCTTAAAGATCGTGTGCAGCGCATCAACGAAAACCTGCAGCAGTGGGCTCTAGAAGTGGAGAAGCTGGTGCGAAAAGCATACCGGTCTGTACCTGCGCTCATTGAAGGGAACCTGGTGCAGACATTCATCGACGGCATCCGCGACCTGGAAGTCAGAGCTGCTGTGAGGCTCGGGCACCACGAGACGCTTAAGGACGCCTTGGCCCATGCACTGGAAGTGGAAGCCGTGCGGCAGGATCATCGTTCCCATCGCGTCAGGGAGGTTGCAGCAGCTACAGTTCGCGACCGCAACAAAGGATACAGCCCAAGGTGCTATGGCTGTGGGGAAAAGGGCCATCTTCGATCCAGCTGCCCTAAGCGAACCCTAGAAAGGGAAATTGAACGATCTCAGGAGGGTAGTGCGGCCAACAGCACCGCCCAGCAGCGGCAGGGAAACGAGTAAAAGCCAGAACTGCGGGGCGGGTGCTGGCTGATGTTAAAAGAGCCCCAAGGATCTCGATCTCACAAACCCATGATGGGAACAGCCTAATCATAAAGGGCGAGATCAACGGAATGCCGTGTAAGCTGACCATAGACACTGGAGCCTCTCGTACGGTTGTTAGTTCCCAACTTATAAGTCAGTTCCTTGGGGACTCCGCATACAACCGAGAACGCCTTAATTTGGTAACAGCCACCGGTCAGCGTATACCCGTCCGTGGAGAGAAGGAGATGGAGTTGAAGCTAGGCAACGTGATCTACCTGCATAATGTCATCGTGGCTGATATAATGGACGACTGCATCTTAGGCCTAGACTTTATGAGGAATAATTGTTGTGAGATCGACGTTAAGCAAGGTGTTTTGAAATGTGGACAGGAGGAACTTTTTATGGAAGGTGCGTTACCAGGGAACGTGTACAGCATCAAGAAGATTGTTCTTCCGCCGAGATCGGAAACGATTGTTCCGGTTAGTCTACCTCGAAACGCTGGGCAAGCTCACCGTTGTGTACTTGTGGAAAGGGTAAACAATGACCTTCCATGGAAAGTAGCTCGAACCTTGGTCAGGACCACTGACATCTCAGGAGTACGTGTGCTGAACCTTTGCGACCGGGAACAGATTATAGAAAAAGGCACACTGGTTGGTACTTGTGAGGAAGTGGATTGGTTACGTCAGTGCCAATATATATCGAGTGGGACCCCCAGCAAGGATTCAGAAACGAGAGTGACCACACTTTTGGAAGACTGTCGCAGTGTTCTGTCCCCGAACGAATGGGTCAAGGCGAAGAAGTTGTTACTCAAGTACACCGATGTATTCTCATCAAATGATGCTGACATAGGAAAGACTGGCCTAGTTCAACACAAAATAAACACAGGAGAGGAATTGCCTATCCGTCAGCGGCCAAGAAGATTGCCGGTAGCACGTGAAAAGGAAGTGGAAACCATGATTGAAGGAATGGTGAAGGATGGTGTTATTGAACCTTCCTCTAGTCCATGGTGTTCACCAGTGGTGCTGGTGAAAAAGAAGGATGGCAGCATGCGGTTCTGTGTTGATTACCGCCGTCTGAACGACGTTACAAAGAAGGACAGCTATCCCTTGCCAAGAATTGATGACACGCTGGACATGCTTACAGGAGTAAAATGGTTTAGCACGCTGGATCTAAAAAAGTGGCTACTGGCAAGTTGAAATTGACCCTAAGGACAAGGAGAAAACTGCGTTCTCGACGGGAAAGGGTCTGTGGCAATTCAAAGTAATGCCGTTTGGGTTGTGCAATGCTCCAGCAACGTTTGAAAGGCTGATGGAACTTGTACTTACCGGGCTAATTGGCGATGCCTGTCTGGTCTACTTGGATGACATCATCATCGTGGGCCGTCCGTTTGAGGAACACCTTCAAAACCTGGAACGCGTGCTCATGAAGATTCAGAGTGCCAACCTCAAGTTGAGCCCGAAGAAATGTTCACTATTTCAACGGCAAGTTAACTTTTTGGGGTTTGTAGTATCGGAAGAAGGTATCCGCACAGATCCAGAGAAAATCGCCGCTGTCAAGGATTGGCCGGTTCCAAAAGACAAGACGCAGGTTAGAGCATTTTTGGGTTTGTGCTCCTATTACCGGCGATTCGTGAAGAACTTTGCAGATATAGCCAAACCTCTGCACAAGCTAACCGAGGAGAAGCGACATTTCTGCTGGGATGAAAGTTGCAATATCGCATTCCAGGAGCTCAAGGACCGTCTGTGCAAAACACCTATTTTGGGATACCCTGATGCAAGCAAAAAATTTATAGTTGACACAGACGCAAGTGATATAGGACTCGGCGGTGTGTTGTCTCAACGGAATGGTGACCAAGAGGTCGTGATAGCGTACTTCAGCAAGTCGTTGTCAAAACCGGAAAGGAACTACTGTGTCACAAGACGCGAATTGCTAGCTGTGGTAAAGTCGTTGCAACATTTTAGCAAATATCTTCTGGGACGAAAATTTCACTTACGAACTGACCATGCTGCACTAAAATGGCTATTGCAGTTTAAAAACCCAGAAGGACAAGTTGCGAGGTGGATTGAACTACTGCAGGAATACGACTTTGAGATCGAACATCGCAGCGGGAAATCTCATGGCAACGCAGATGCATTGTCAAGAAGACCTTGTCCTGAAGATTGCAAACATTGTACTAGGCAAGAGAGTAAGGAAGTGGTATCCGTGAGGATGCTCAGGGCGGACCACCTCAGCAACGAGTGGAAGGACAGCTTACTACATACACAGCAGGAAGATCCGGACATCAAGCCGATTCTGGAATGGATAAAGGCCAGTGCTCCCAAGCCCAAGTGGAGTGACGTCTCAGCGATGAGTTCGACCACTAAAAGCTATTGGGCCCAGTGGGACAGCTTGCTGCTTCAGGATGGAGTTCTGTGTCGTAAATGGGAAAACGTTCGGGGAGACAGCTGTCATTTGCAAATGGTTGTCCCTAAAGTTAAAGTACCGGATGTTCTACAGCTGTACCATAATGATTGTTCAGGAGGCCATCTGGGAGTTAAACGAACTCTACTGAAGATCCGAGAACGGTTTTACTGGGTCCACTGTCGAAACGATGTCGAGGACTGGTGTCGCAAATGTACAAGTTGTGCGGCTGTAAAGGGACCTCAGACTCGTAGTAGAGGTGCATTGAAGTTGTACAATGTTGGTGCACCATGGGAGAGAATAGCCATTGACGTGGCGGGGCCGTTTCCGGAGAGTGAAAGCGGTAACAAGTATTTCATGGTTGTGATGGATTACTTCACTAAGTGGCCAGAAGTCTTCGCCATTCCAAATCAAGAAGCTTCAACAGTTGCAGATAAACTAGTTCATGAAGTCTTCTGTCGTTTTGGAGTACCTTTAGAGATTCACAGCGATCAAGGAAGGAATTTTGAGTCTCAAATATTCCAGGAAACTTGCCGAGTTATGGGTACTCATAAAACAAGAACGACTTCTTATCACCCGCAATCTGATGGAATGGTGGAACGATTTAATCAGACATTGGAGAGGTACCTAGCAAAAGTTGTAGACAATCGGCAACGAGATTGGGACAAGCACATACAACCGTTTTTGTTGTCATATCGAAGTTCTGTTCACGAAAGTACAGCAGTGACACCAGCTTTCGCAAACTTTGGAAGAGAATTACGGCTGCCTGCAGACCTGATCACCGGGATACCACCCGATGCTCCACGCAGTATAACCGATTATGCAAATGACTTGCGGAAAAAAATGAATGACGTTTATGAGCACGTCAGACAATCGGGCCAGCAAATGTCTGAAAAGATGAAAACCCGGTATGACCGCAAAATGAACAACAAAGGGTTCGACGAAGGTTCACTTGTGTGGTTGCACAATCAGTCCGCAGCAAAGGGAAATCTCCTAAGCTTCAAGCTAAATGGGACGGCCCGTACCGGATTGTAACCAGGATCAACGATGTGACCTACCGGATACAGAAAGGCGCAAGAGGGACTCCTAAGATCGTCCATGTGGATCGCTTGGCGCGTTATTATGGGACCGATAATGCTCGGGACGAGCATGTCTTAGGAGGGGGCAGTGTTGCATGAATAAGTCAACTAGCGCCATCTAGTGTCAGGAACGAGAGCGAGGGGAGCATTGAGAAAATGACATCACAAATCGCTCAACTGACAGCGCCTAGTCGAAACTCGAACGCTCGGTACCTTCCGCGTGTTTACTTGAACATTCTGGATATTTCTTTGCTAATTCAAATATATAGGCGCTGCAAGATGCGATCGCAGTAGAGTTGAACTCAGCGACACAAGCGAAGCTTCGGAGTGGAATTAAGTGAATTAGTGTGTTTAAATTATTAGTGTTTTAACTTTAATTGTGTAAAGTAAATTAAAGTGTTAATTTAGGTAATTTTATCGGCAATTTTTATTGTCACGAACCTCAAGCTCGTAACAATACCTAGAATACAGTTTAAAATATGTATATTTGCTTATAATTTATGTCCATATATATTTACAGAATGGATAAATCTAAGCCAAAATCAAGAAAAAAAGCAAGAAAAAGTCGCAGGCGCCTTGATGCAATATAAAAATTATTCAAATGAAATGCTTGAAATAGCTGTAGATCTTGTTAGAAAAAAACAGATATCAGCAAGAGAGGCGGCGCGACAATTCGCAATTCCTAAACAGACAATATTAAATAAAGTAAACAAGTCTCATACAAAGACTGTCGGATGTCCAACGCGATTATCTGATGACGAAGAAGCCAAATTTATAAGTTTTAATTGTTGCTGGGGAATTCGGATGCCCACTTAGTAAATTGGATCTTCGCCTCGTCGTGTTTGAACACTTGAAAAAGAATGGCTGCGAGGATGTATTTAACGGAGGACCTCCTGGAAAAGCATGGCTTGATAATTTTTTGTCAAGACATTCATCAGATTTGTCAGTTCGTAGCACGCAGAATATTAAAAAAAATAGAGCTGATAAAGGGGTTGATGAGTTCATGGAATATTTTAGAAATTTAGAAGAGACTTTGAAAGATGTTGCTCCATCAAATATACTCAATTTTGATGAAACAAATTTAACAGATGATCCAGGATCTTCAAAATGTATATTTAGGCGAGGAGTAAAATATCCCGAGCGAGTGCTAAATTCAACTAAAGGAGCCATTTCGCTGATGTTCTCAGTTACAGCGAACGGGAGCTTGCTACCTATTTACGTTGTTTATAAGGCAGAGAATTTATATTCTGAATGGATACAGGGCGGACCGCGTGGTACTATGTATAACCGCACAAGATCTGGGTGGTTTGATTCTTTTGTTTTTGAAGATTACTTTAACACAACTATTATGGATTGGGCAAAGTCTTTACCTGTTAAAAAGGTTTAGAAAGGATAATTTATCAAGCCAGTTAAATGTGAGTGTTATCGAATTATGTGAGTGTTACAATATTCAGTTTGTTTTCATTTCATCTAACTCGATACACATAACACAACCCCTTGACGTCGCTTTTTTGGCACCACTTAAAAAAGTGTGGCGAGCAATATTACTCAAGTACAAAATGGAAAATCCCAACCAAACTACTCTGAATAAGAATCATTTCCCAAAACTTTTACATTCTTTAGTTGATCAAGTTGAAATATATTCATCTAAAAATATCAAAAGCGGATTCAGAGCAACGGGGATCTACCCATTCAACCCAAGAGAAGTACTGAAGCGTGTACCAGAGTATCAAGAAGATGTGGCATCATATGGGATTGACAATGCATTGCTAGACTACTTAAAGCAGATCAGGCAGCCAAATCCTATGACAACAAAAAGAAACAAAAAAGTTTTGACTGTACCTGGAAAATCAGTAACAGTCGATGATTTACTGCTGACTTCCCAACTCTCAAAATCGAATGTACGAGCCAAAGTCAAATCATCCAAGAATACTACGACACTCACGAATGTAGATCCTGCAGCCTCACTCGCAAGTGTCTCACTCGAGAATTTTAATAAAAATTACAATTATAACATTAGTTATATTTTAAACGAAAAAACAGGTCTCATGGAAGCCACAAAAAACGCTGATTTAGCATTTGAAACTGATTTACCCGTGATTTCCATAAAAGACCAAGACAAGCCCAAAAAGATAAATATTCTATTCGACATCATTTTACCAGAACATAAGACTGAGCCTATTGCAAAAACTAAAACTAAATACTTTAAAGAAACTGATACAAGCTTTAATTATCATAGAAAAACCACATACTGAAAATTCGGATGGTAAGGTAAGAAAAATAGATAATATTGCTTTTAATATTAACGTTTATAGTGTTTTAAGTAGTGACGATAATGAGGATATTAGGGATGTTGTGAGTTGTTCTGCAAATAGCAGAGAGAAGACTAGCAGTAAAAAAGGAAGAAAAAACGTCGTTTGACGTTTCAAAAAGGTCTGTCTGTCAAAAAGGAAAACTTCAAACCAGTTAAGAGACCACGAAAATCTCTAGATAGTTCTACAACTACTGAGGAAGATTGGATTAGCACCCATAGTGATTCTGACATAATTGAAGCACTTAGTGATGTTACAAATTTTGAAATAAATATGGAAGAGTCTACAAATATTGATGAATCTATAAATATGGAAGAATCTATAAATATGGATAAACAAATAATAAAAGAAGATATACATCAAACTGATAAGAATTCAAAGAAAAAAGAGTATTATGAATTAGGAGAAAAAGTGTTGGTAAGATACTATCAGTCAAATAAATGGAAGTACTATGTAGGATTAATTGAAAGTGTTAATGACAATTCAAAAACTTTTAATATATCTTATTACAAATTCATAAAAACAAAAGATTCGGATGATATTAAATTTATTAAACCTAAGCTCTTGGATCGAGATATAGCCGTACCAGAAAGTAACATTGTTAAATTTATAGAACTTACAATTCAATGAAAGTCCTGAAAAATATGCATTAAGGTGTGATAAGGATTCTGTGTACTTATAAGAATTTGATATTATGTCTTGTGTTATCACAAAAAGTATATTGCTGTATTTCTTTCGTATTTACTAGAATGTGTCATTTACACGCTCATTTCCTAAAGTTCCTAAAGTATGTTTTTCATTAATTATTTTTTGTTTTCAGTAGGTACCTAGGTTCTAAATAAACACTAAGCTTGGTACCTATTGTTATATATATTTTTATTTATAAATTTGAGTTTTCTCTTTCACCTCAACGTGATGATTAAGTAGTCTTGAGATTACTAAATTGAAAATTGAATCTTTTTTTTTAAGAATTTTGATCTCACAAATACGTGATAGTAATTTAAGTAATTACTCATAACCATTTAATACTTGATATAATTTGATAGTCTATGTTGTTGTCTACTTGCTTAGTAAAAGTGCCATATTTTATATGCTAATATTGTACCAAATAAATCTCATATAATAAAATGCGATTGATTAAAAACATGTTTTTTTTTTTTGTAAAACACCCAACCAATATATAATAATTAAAAAAATTGACAACCCTGAGTCTAAAACTGTTTTGTATGAAAATTTAAAAAAAGTTTCGGGTATCTTTGACCACCTCGCTGTAAGCCAAAATATTTATCTTTTTGTGATTATTGCCTATTATACGTCTTCTTTGGCCAGTTTCCTGACATAGTTCTTAAAGTAAACTGCATTGAGACTATAATTCAAGAGTTATAAGCAGTGGCTAATGTTGACAGAAAGCTGATGTAATTTTGGTAGACTAAAAAAATATATTTTTAGGTAAGAAACTGTCCTAATTTTCGCAATTTCCTTGAATTAACATCAACTGTTGAGGTTTCTGGTGTTGAACAAATATGAAAAACTAATACTTTACTCTGTTTGTGAAAAATTCGCTGTCTCACATGGTTTACTATACAATACCGAAAAGTCGCATTTCATGGTATTTAAGGCTGGCAGTAAATGTCTTAGTGTGGTACCACCTATAAAGCTGTATAATGAACCGCTAGAAAGGGTCTATAGTTTTAAATATCTTGGACATATTGTGACGGACAGCCTTAAAGACGATGAAGACATTGAAAGAGAACGTAGGGCACTGTCGGTCAGGGCGAATATGTTGGTGCATAGATTTGGTCGCTGCACTGACGCTGTCAAGATCACGCTTTTCAAAACATATTGTGCGTCATTTTATTCTTGCAGTCTATGGACCAACTACACCAAAAAGACTTATAGTGCCCTACGTACTCAATACAACAAGGCATTCAGGGCACTGTTGCGGCTGCCGCGCTACTGTAGCGCGTCTGCGATGTTTGAATTGGCGGGTGTGGATAGTGTTGATGCAATAATACGAAAAAAGACCGCATCTTTGCTAAACAGAGTGCGCGGCAGCGGCCACAGTGTACTGAGTGAGATTGCCAACAGTGGTGACTGTCCACTGATCAAAAAAATGATCTCCAGGACCGTGTCCTGCTTAATAATTAAATATTAAAATAAAAAAAAATAAAAAAATAAAAATATATAAATTATATTACTAACATAGATGTAAGTTTTTCTCTACTAACAATTCCTATGGATTTCAAGTTGTCCGAAATAAACAATTTTTATTTTTTATTTTATTTTATTTATTTTATTTACTAACAGTTTTTTGGATTTAAAGTTGATTAAGTGCAAAATGTGGCCAATGTTGGCAGGTTTTACGGTACATATTTTATGTTGTTTCATTGTGTTTAATTTTAGTTACATAACAAGAATTATTTTTAATAATAATGAGAGTGTGCGTATTGTAAAACTCGTTACCAAAAGGGAAGTGGTATAACATTTCACAAGTAAGTGAATTTGCAGCTAATATTAAACAAGTTAAAACTATTTGGTAATATAGATACTTAAAAATTTGTTATTAATCTTAATATCATACCAACGTTTTTGGCTCTATATTACTGAATTTTGATAAATAATAAAATTGAATAGGGTTGTCGAGTTCCTTGTCTATAATACTTATCGATATTCTTTCCTACCCATATCTGTTAACAAAGTCGCCAACAACAGATGATTATCAAATGTTGATTAATTAACAGGTTTCCAACTGAACTTAGACTAAAATTATGGCTTAAAAGCATAAATATTGTGAATTGGCTTCCCAAAAAAAAAAAAAAGATCATCTTTGTTCTAAGCATTTCACAGACGACTGTTTTATTAGACATGAGAACCGCACCACTTTGAAATAGTGCAGTATAATACAATATTTTCTTGTAGTACCAGTACCAGTATAGATTATTATTTCGAATGTTTTTTATTTCTCGCCATTTGACGCTTCCAAGTGCTTGTTTTTTCCTGGCTCCAATCACAGATCGGGCTCGGGGAGTCCGCCGTATAGGTGGAGGTAGAGGCCTCGAAGGTCAGTGTGCCTTGTGTTTCTGGTGCGCCTTATATATGAGAAGGAAAACGGGGAGGAGAAATCGGCAACTAAGGAGGCGCTGCCATTAGGTGGCTGGCACTGTTTGGACCGCGGATGTTCATGAAAACGTTTCCGTGGCCCTGCCAATTTGCGGCGGCTGTAGAACACTTTAATTCTCTCTCGAGTCTCGAGATTTAATTTGTGCTTTAACTTCGTAGTGGACCTACTTTAGTTTCTTTATTATTTACAAATTCTGGCCATCGTTTACATTCACGGTATTAGGCAGTTTCCTCTTGCGTTGGATTGCAATATGTCAAGCCCCCCAGAATACGTTGCACTGCCGAAGCTGGAAAGCTTAGGAGCTAGTGCAATATGCATCGACAAAGGTTATCCGTATGTTGATCTCGAAACCATGACAGGCGATACTACCTCCAGAATACATGGATCTGGCCGAGATTGAGAGCCTGTCAAGATTCTTCTTTTTATGTTGGTATCTTGATTTTTCTTTTCTTTTTTATTAGTAGCAAACCGTGGCAAATGTGATGTGTAGTTTTCTTCATTGCGTGAATCTTATATACGTCGGAACACAAGTTCCTACCGGGAACTGACTATCGTTTCAAAGAAGGTTTGGTCTATTTCTGAAGCCTGTGATAATATCAAGCATGATCATTGTTGTGAATACTCCCCTAGATCATCCAAAAAGACATTGGAACGACTTCAGAAATCTTTGAGAAACACAGGAGCTCGTGTAAAAGTTCCATTGCAACATGTGAAACGATTAAAGGTCAGCATCACTTGTTTAAGAAATGTAATTATAGAATGAAAGAGTAGAAAATTAATTATCGATGACTGTGCAAATCTATTAAATCAGTATGACGACTTCAAGTAGTCACAATTGTTTAAAAGGATGATATTAAATACTGGTGAAAATTATCCCTCGGTATTAAGATCTTTTACTCACCAAGAGCATACGCTTTCGTCAGAAAAAAGTTTAATATAGCATTACCACATCCTCGGGTAATACGCTCCTGGTATAGCTCTGTGGATGCGAATCCGGTGAAAGTTTTAATGCTTTGCAACTCGAAAGTAACCAAGCAAAATAGAATGGAGAAAAACTAATTTGTGCTTTGATAATAGACGAAATGATAGATGGAGTAACAACCTGGTAAGACATGCAGGAAGTTGACGGATGCAAGTAGCTCAGGATCGTGCTTTGTGGCATTCCTTGGGGGTAGCCTATAGTCAGCAGTGGACTTGTGAAGGGCTTTAATGATGACGAATGATAATGGCATAATATGATACATAAATAGAATGGACATTACGGGTAGAGGCCATCTATCCATAGAGTACTTTCTATTTATTTAGGTATGGGTAAAATATATAATTTAGATAGGTATAGAATTTTTATCGATATATGTTGTCACATTGTCATTTATCCCTATTATTAGTTCCGTAGGCCATGAAGGTTAGAGAACAGGAGAACGATCGCCGTAGAAAATAATGTCCCAGAAATATGGACACCAGAAGTGAGGCGCTGCGATCGCTAAGTTAGGTCAATAAAAGTCATTTTCAGTCTATTTTTCCGATCAGATGCTAAACCACTTGCACATCCACGCACAATAAAATATTTCTCCATTTTTAATGTTTCTTTTTGTCAAAAATTACAAAATTACGGAGCATGAAAAGAAAATTTATATATTATTCAACTAACTTCATCTACTTGTACTCATAAACAGCTAACTTCGCAGTCACTACTCACCGACGTCAGCGCCGCTATTAATTCTACAATTTTCAAGGACAGGCGGGTTAGTATGTAGTGATCGTTCTCCTGTTCTCTAACCTTCACACCGTAGGCGTTCACTTCTGCTGTCAGCGTCAAAATAGCGCAAATCAAATTGCCTCATCATGTCACGATTTATAGCCAGTGCAGCGAGACTTGTATATACAGAGGTCAGTGATACAAACGTATCTTTTTTATTATCATAATTGATTATCTCGTTATCCCATTCATTTCTATGGTTTTTATAGTAATAATAATCGTATATCATCTCGGCTACCCCTGAAAAGTGCGCGTGTCTCGTTCAACGCATCGTCTACCCTCATAATTGTGGTTATAATCAGTTCGAGTTGCAGTTGTCTAGCTCGCTCGTTCACTCACAGCGCCACAGCAAAACCTTCAAATGCCTTGCCAATCAGATAGACTCTCAATTAATGGGTATAAAATAAAACAACTTTGATATATATTACAATAAACTGTTTCTTTATTTCACACATATTTCACAGGAGGGTTTAATTTAGTTTTTAAACAGAAAAATCATAAAAATATTTACAGATACAAGAATCAACAGTTGCATCAGTTTAACAATTCCCTTAACCTAGAAATAATACGTCAAAATTTATTCTTCAAGGTGGAGAAAGTATTCAAACATACTTTTTACAAATGCTCAATTTGTATAACGACCCGTGTAATCGACAAGAGTTCTTTTGAATTACAATTTAATTTATAAAATATAAGTAAAGGTATAATTAAGTTCATAACGGAGACCTCAAATCGATTCTGCCGGCGCATTGTAATAACTTATATAGAGAGTATATAATAAGCAAAACACTATGTAAACAATACTAGACAATTTAAACAAAGGTTTTATCTCACAATATTTTCTTGACATAAATATAAAAATAAATTCATAAATTAGTCTCATATTACTTCTTTCTTCTTGATACTTTCTTTCTACTTGATGGACGAAAGCACTTGGCGTATACTTGCTGTTTGCCTAAGATAGTGCTAAATAGTATTTATGAGAAATTGATAAATCAGAAAATGATAAGAATACATTCAAAATGCACCGGGAGAATCCTTGTGACTTTTAATCGTAAAAAAAAGTCAAAATGAAAGGATAATAACGGATATTTATAATTTAATGGTTGTACATCATAGACTACTATAATACACAATAGAATGGCTGTCAACCTTATTTTGTACGACGATAGGCGTCGCCGGGAGCACAAATACAAGCAATAACGTCGTATTATCACTACTACAAACCCGATTCGCTGTGTTGACAGACAGATTTTAATACATATTTATTTATAAATAGCGTGCATTTTCTAAATAATTTGCATGCGAAATTTGGAAACGATTGTAACGTCAAAACACATCTCGTGTTTCATCATTTATACGTGTTAATTGACTTGTTAGTGACATTTTAGTGGCTACGCGGGCTCCGCCCATTCTCCCGTTATATTATGTATGTATTATAGTATTCTATGTTGTACATAGATACAGATTATTTACACGGAACCACTTACAGAATAAATTACTGATGACCCAGGCGGTCCATTTCTAATTTGTATTGTTAATGTTCCCGATTACCACTGAGAAAGAGAGCTCGTTTGCAACATACATTTCATAGAACATACAAACGTCGCCCTTCGGTACACAAGATAGCCTGCATTGCATAGACATTGTACAATTCGTAGACTAAAGGTACATATGTGTACTTGTGTAAACACAACTTGTGCATGGAATACATTCGTATACAAAAACCTCACTGTTTTATTATACATACATAAGCCCTCACGCCTATCACCCAGAGAGGTGGGCAGAGATTATGGACTTCCATTTGGTGAGACCATGACACCTCTCTCGCTTCTTTCATATATCCACGCATACACGCTCGTTGGTTAAGAGTATTCTAAATTTGACCCATCTTCATTATATCACCAATTTATGTGAAAAACTTCCGTCTAGGGATTTAGGACGTCTTTTGTTGAATATGCCACGCATTTAAGGGTATGTTCCAAAATAGAACCCACTGTACTGTCCAATGCAAATGACGTCATTAATCGACGCTACCTTTCACTACCTTACGCGTCATACCTTTGCGCCATATTGGAAAAGTGTTGACGATTATTTTGTCATTTTGTACTCCAAAAATCATTATATCCTCGTAATGGAGATACCAGCAATTATTCTATAATTTTTTGTATTTGAATAAATAAAAACAAATGCTGGCATGCTTCATTCAGAGCACACCCAATTAAAAATTGTTTTGCTATGGCCGGATATCCGACGCAATATGGCGGCGGCACGCCAGTACGATATGGTGTCAATTGATGACGTCATTTGTATTCGGCAGTATACTGAAAACGTTTCCAAACATACCCAATATATTATGGGCTAACATATTTTGTGTACGCACAGAAGATACTATAGCGAATAAAATAAGGGATTGAATTGAAGGGGCGAAATATACTTGGTCGCTAAAAAGATTATTAAATTATGACTCAGTGTGGTAGCGATGTAAAGAGAACTCCTCCACATTTCGTCTCGTGGATGTTGTAAGAGGCGACCATAGGAAAGGCTAGAAGTCTAGCTCGAAGACTAGGCTTCCGATAGATGGCGGTATATAACCATCTAATTACGCCAGGCATAAGTAGACGACGAAGAGCATTCGGACTGCAAACGAAGATCCGCCTGCAAGCGTGAAGACTAAAGCAGATCCTCCCTACACGAGGAGCAGCTCATGTCCATCAAAATTAAAAGGCAATGAAATAATCAAAACCTCAAGGTCACAAAAGATGTTCGTTCTAAAAGTCGTATTAACCATGATTAATAAATAAATGAGCCTTGAAATTATAAAGCATGAATAATGAGGACTCCCCACTCAGTGGAAATCTACAAACTACAAGCTAAATCAAATGTCAAGATAAAACTATTGTTGGTTGCTATTATCATAATTCATAACCCTAAGAATTACATATGCATGCAACTATACAAAAATTAAGGTCTGGTGGGGGTATCGTGCTCGGGAACGAACGGGTCACAGACAGCGATATGTCAGTTGCGTGATAGGACGGCGGTTCAAAATATATTTATTCCTCTACGATTATTCAACTATGCCCCGCATTTTAAAAAATAACATTTACTCTATTCGATAGTTTATGTTTATACACATTCGCTATTGGCTCCCATAGAAAAAATTATCCATACAGCGATTTCAGTGCTTTACATTTCCCAGAACAGTGTCCAGTGACTGTTTATAAAATCCAGGCCGTTAGTAAAATTTTGACCCAAAAATTAACAATATTCAGTCTATTCGTATAAATATTTATATTTATAACATTACCTAAAGATCATCAATGTAATAATTTAAAAATACAACACTACATTTAGTTTTTATAGAAAAACGTGAAAAAAGAACACCAGCGAAAATACTAAAATCGTAGTTGTTGTACGAACGACATCTATTCTACCAGCACCTCGACTTATATAAAAATTTTATGCGATAATATTCAAAAGAGAGACGTAAAATACAACTAGAACGTATCAATGACGGAAATCTTTCCACACAGCCATTACATATTAATAGAAAAAAATAAATACGAGAAATCTACGTAAATAAATATAAATACAATTTTTGGTTACGTTTAAATTTAATTTATAAATAATATAGAAAATGATTCGATTTTTGAATAGTTCTTAGTTAGGCTACAGGAACGTTTTATGTCTATTATGTATATGTTTAAGTATTCTAGGGACCTATGCTAGAAGTCGGTTGCGATCGGTTCTGGACAAGTTGAGGCTAGAGTAGAACTGCACATTGTAACTCTTGTGTGTCACCCAGCGTCCGCCGCATTTGCACTAGTGTACACTGCGGTGCAAGTTGCAGTGTGCGCTGCCTTGCGCTAGAGCACACTGCATATGGCGCGAAGCAATCTTCATTCTGATTCGTCGTCGTTGTCGTCATCGAAACCGTTTAGTTCAGCTGATTCTAGGTACCCCTGCATTACCTACCAGGCAAAGATAAATAATACGATATAGGATATAATTGAGTAAGCTGGTGAGGTGCACTTAGCGCGTACTCGAGCAGCGCCAGGTGATAGAACACGTACTACTCGGGCATCTGTGTGGAGTGCACTCGTCCAGTTGAGAGTGAGTGAGTGAGTGAGCGGGACGGCGCACTTACCGCGTACTCGAGCAGCGCCAGGTGGCAGAACACGTACTACTCGAGCATCTGTGTGGAGTGCACTCGTCCAGTTGAGAGTGAGTGAGTGAGCGGGACGGCGCACTTACCGCGTACTCGAGCAGCGCCAGGTGGTAGAACACGTACTACTCGGGCATCTGTGTGGAGTGCACTCGTCCAGTTGAGAGTGAGTGAGTGAGTGAGCGGGACGGCGCACTTACCGCGCACTCGAGCAGCGCCAGGTGGCAGAACACGTACTGCTCGGGCATCTGTGTGAAGTGCACTCGTCCAGTTGAGAGTGAGTGAGTGAGTGAGCGGGACGGCGCACTTACCGCGTACTCGAGCAGCGCCAGGTGGCAGAACACGTACCGCTCGGACTAATATGTGGGGTGCACTCGTCCAGTTGAGAGTGAGTGAGTGAGCGGGACGGCGCACTTAATGCGTACTCGAGCAGCGCCAGGTGGCAGAACACGTACTGCTCGGGCATCTGTGTGGAGTGCACTCGTCCAGTTGAGAGTGAGTGAGTGAGCGGGACGGCGCACTTACCGCGTACTCGAGCAGCGCCAGGTGACAGAACACGTACTACTCGAGCATCTGTGTGGAGTGCACTCGTCCAGTTGAGAGTGAGTGAGTGAGCGGGACGGCGCACTTACCGCGTACTCGAGCAGCGCCAGGTGGCAGAACACGTACCGCTCGGACTAATATGTGGGGTGCACTCGTCCAGTTGAGAGTGAGTAAGTGAATGAGCGGGACGGCGCACTTACCGCGTACTCGAGCAGCGCCAGGTGGCAGAACACGTACTGCTCGGGCATCTATGTGGAGTGCACTCGTCCAGTTGAGAGTGAGTGAGTGAGCGGGACGGCGCACTTACCGCGTACTCGAGCAGCGCCAGGTGACAGAACACGTACTACTCGGGCATCTGTGTGGAGTGCACTCGTCCAGTTGAGAGTGAGTGAGTGAGCGGGACGGCGCACTTACCGCGTACTCGAGCAGCGCCAGGTGGCAGAACACGTACCGCTCGGACTAATATGTGGGGTGCACTCGTCCAGTTGAGAGTGAGTAAGTGAATGAGCGGGACGGCGCACTTACCGCGTACTCGAGCAGCGCCAGGTGGCAGAACACGTACTGCTCGGGCATCTGTGTGGAGTGCACTCGTCCAGTTGAGAGTGAGTGAGTGAGTGAGCGGGACGACGCACTTACCGCGTACTCGAGCAGCGCAAGGTGGCAGAACACGTACCGCTCGGACTAATATGTGGGGTGCACTCGTCCAGTTGAGTGAGTGAGTGAGCGGGACGGCGCACTTACCGCGTACTCGAGCAGCGCTAGGTGGCAGAACACGTACTGCTCGGGCATCTGTGTGGAGTGCACTCGTCCAGTTGAGAGTGAGTGAGTGAGCGGGACGGCGCACTTACCGGGTACTCGAGCAGCGCCAGGTGACAGAACACGTACTACTCGGGCATCTGTGTGGAGTGCACTCGTCCAGTTGAGAGTGAGTGAGTGAGCGGGACGGCGCACTTACCGCGTACTCGAGCAGCGCCAGGTGGCAGAACACGTACCGCTCGGACTAATATGTGGGGTGCACTCGTCCAGTTGAGAGTGAGTAAGTGAATGAGCGGGACGGCGCACTTACCGCGTACTCGAGCAGCGCCAGGTGGCAGAACACGTACTGCTCGGACATCTGTGTGGAGTGCACTCGTCCAGTTGAGAGTGAGTGAGTGAGTGAGCGGGACGGCGCACTTACCGCGTACTCGAGCAGCGCCAGGTGACAGAACACGTACTACTCGGGCATCTGTGTGGAGTGCACTCGTCCAGTTGAGAGTGAGTGAGTGAGCGGGACGGCGCACTTACCGCGTACTCGAGCAGCGCCAGGTGGCAGAACACGTACTACTCGGGCATCTGTGTGGAGTGCACTCGTCCAGTTGAGAGTGAGTGAGTGAGTGAGCGGGACGGCGCACTTACCGCGTACTCGAGCAGCGCCAGGTGGCAGAACACGTACTGCTCGGGCATCTGTGTGAAGTGCACTCGTCCAGTTGAGAGTGAGTGAGTGAGTGAGCGGGACGGCGCACTTACCGCGTACTCGAGCAGCGCCAGGTGGCAGAACACGTACCGCTCGGACTAATATGTGGGGTGCACTCGTCCAGTTGAGAGTGAGTGAGTGAGCGGGACGGCGCACTTACCGCGTACTCGAGCAGCGCCAGGTGGCAGAACACGTACTGCTCGGGCATCTGTGTGGAGTGCAGTCGTCCAGTTGAGAGTGAGTGAGTGAGTGAGCGGGATGGCACACTTACCGCGTACTCGAGCAGCGCCAGGTGGCAGAACACGTACTGCTCGGGCATCTGTGTGAAGTGCACTCGTCCAGTTGAGAGTGAGTGAGTGAGTGAGCGGGATGGCGCACTTACCGCGTACTCGAGCAGCGCCAGGTGACAGAACACGTACTACTCGGGCATCTGTGTGGAGTGCACTCGTCCAGTTGAGAGTGAGTGAGTGAGCGGGACGGCGCACTTACCGCGTACTCGAGCAGCGCCAGGTGGCAGAACACGTACTGCTCGGGCATCTGTGTGAAGTGCACTCGTCCAGTTGAGAGTGATTGAGTGAGTGAGCGGGACGGCGCACTTACCGCGTACTCGAGCAGCGCCAGGTGGCAGAACACGTACTGCTCGGTCATCTGTGTGAAGTGCACTCGTCCAGTTGAGTGAGTGAGTGAGTGAGCGGGACGGCGCACTTACCGCGTACTCGAGCAGCGCCAGGTGGCAGAACACGTACTACTCGGTCATCTGTGTGAAGTGCAGTCGTCTAGTTGAGAGTGAGTGAGTGAGTGAGCGGGATGGCACACTTACCGCGTACTCGAGCAGCGCCAGGTGGCAGAACACGTACTGCTCGGGCATCTGTGTGGAGTGCACTCGTCCAGTTGAGAGTGAGTGAGTGAGCGGGACGGCGCACTTACCGCGTACTCGAGCAGCGCCAGGTGGCAGAACACGTACTGCTCGGACTATCTGTGGGAGTGCACTCGTCCAGTTGAGAGTGAGTAAGTGAGTGAGCGGGACGGCGCACTTACCGCGTACTCGAGCAGCGCCAGGTGGCAGAACACGTACTGCTCGGGCATCTGTGTGGAGTGCACTCGTCCAGTTGAGAGTGAGTGAGTGAGTAAGCGGGACGGCGCACTTACCGCGTACTCGAGCAGCGCCAGGTGGCAGAACACGTACTGCTCGGGCATTTGTATGGAGTGCGCGCGTTGCGCCCGCACGCGCTGTACGGTGCCGCGCACGTCCACCGTGCCTTCTGCCGCCAGCCGCGATGTGCACACGTCCAGCGTGATAAACGTGCCTGAAAAATTTGAAACTGATATTAGAGGTGGGCGAGCCATGTAGGTAATTCGCACGTGTTACATTATTCGTCACTAATAAAACTGTTTCAATAATAATGTTCGGATATGCTATATAGAATAAGAATTAGATCTTGGGACAATCCATGCCGATCACAAAACGTGTTAGCGAATACGAAGACTTTTATATACTATACTACTAGACCAGCAATTTAGATCAAAAACTGGTAATCACGCGGGTATAAACGCGTACGGGTGGTACGGTGGTAAATATGCCACAAATATGCAAATAAAATTAATTAAATCACGTTGACAAAGTGTGCACATACGTAAATAATGACAGCATTTTCTTAGTGACATGAAACATAAACAATGTTAGATTGTCGAAAACAACGTTTGCAGTTTATTTACAAAGTAAGTAGAAGTTACGTAGAATTGACCGTAACTTAGTGCGCAATATATTAAGGCCGCAGAGACCGTCTAGTAGCGTACATAATATACATATCTTGAGTTCAATAGTAGATATATGCGCTATAAAATCAATCTTGTTTATTTAACGGTTTGGGGGGGTTTTTATAGTCTTTGATTACTTGTATGTATAACAATGTAACTTAATATTATAAAACTTATTATTATAATATGTAGAATATTATTAGATAAAAAGTGTTATAATGATAAGTAATCTGAGTTCTATTTAAAATTTCTGAACAGAAAATTTAATGAAAGTGCAGTAGCGTGGAATGAGGATCTTCCCTTTCTCTCTCTCGCTCTCTCTCTCTCTATCTCTATCTATCTCTCTATCTATCTCTATCTCTCTATCTATCTCTATCTCTCATTCTATCTCTATCTCTCATTCTATCTCTATCTCTCATTCTATCTCTATCTTCATTTTTTTCTTCTCTATCTTCTTCTATCTCTCTCTATTCTATCTCTCTCTCTCTCTATCTCTATCTCTCTCTCCCTCTATCTCTCTCTATATCTCACTCTATCTCTATCTCTCTCTCTCTCTCTCTCTCTCTCTCTCTCTCTCTCTCTCTCTCCCACGAAAATGGTAGACGACGGTCTTTCTTTGGTATGTGCTCTTAACAAATTAAAATAAATCAAGTGCTTTTCCAAAAAGTTCTATCTTTCATTTTGACATCCCCTGATATACAATATGTAACGTAATTAACGCACACCCTCAGACACCCCAATTAGTATATTATGTTATAATCATAATACATACACTGAATTTTTAGTTAAACATTTATGCACTGATTATTTATCAAATTAGTCATACTAATTTCGGAAGAATGTTGTGGTCGCAGTATAAATCCACGAACGCAAAGATTCTACGTGCTTGAAATAAAGTTCATTTTTCTTTATTTTTATTGAATGACAGAAGTAGTAATAATAATTAAATAAAATTGCACTCTTAAAAGTCTTATTGCCTTAAATTACGGTCCATTTCAGTTTGTTTTGACTTTACAGATTTAGTGTGACTGTAATTTACGTAGTTTTAATTATTTTTGGGATAAAAAATTAAGTATATTAAAAATGATAGGAATCGATTCAGTAAACGATTCTGAACAAACTACTTTCTCAAAGTGCGTTAATTACGTTAGATATTGTATATACATCTTATTTAGTACCTGGTTGACCGAGCTTTGCTCGGTATTTTTCGCTCGTTTTTTTTTAATTCGTGTGTTTTGGAAATTATATTTAGATACAAATTACATACTGATGAAATACGAATAATATTTATTGATCTTAGCGACATAATAGAAAAACTGAACTGGTTATTTGAATAAAAATCATGAGTGCAATTAGTTTAATTTAAATTTTAGTGTTTTTAAAAAAATACTAAAAAAGGACTCGAAATAATAGATTTTCTCAAAAACCTTCTTTTTTTTGAGAAAATCTTGAAAAAAGAATGAAGAAAAAGTCGGTATATAGATAGGACTCTAACCAGGGTATTACGATTTCGTGACCGCCCAATATACCAATTAAGCTATTTATAATCATTAACAAACTGTCAAAATTTACCTTCCTATTCTAAAGATATTGTAGCAGTTTTTTATTGCCTGAAAACACGGATAAAACGAATTTTCTAGAAATGAATCCTAGCTAGATCGATTTATTGCCCCCCGAAACTCCCTGGACACTAAATTTTATGAAAATCGTTGGAGCCGTTTCCGAGATTCCGATTATATATATATATATATATATATATATATATATATATATATATATATATATATATATATATATATATATATAACACAAGAAATGCTTGTTTAAAGGTATAGGATATACGATGTTACTATTATAGCAAACCCTCACTCCTATGAAAAAAGCCTGTGCCCAGTACCGTTAATACCGATTGTGGTTGATGAAAAGAACGGTAAACGAATACGTTTTTTTATTTTAATTAACGTTCATATGTTCGGAATATGATTATGTTCTTATCATTTTTTAAATGAAATATCAGGAGAAAAATATATAATTGAAAAAAAATAAATAACCTGTTCGACCGATGCCAGCTGAACAATGAACAACTATGGGGGGTCCTCTACTGTGTCCCGCCCACGCATCTCCTAGGCTGTAAAGTAAATGTATACAACAAATAAGAAACATGAACGCCAAAATATAATATTTTTTATTTTTATCACATCAGATTATAAAATTAACAGCCTTTTCAACTTCAATTTGGACATGTACCTTTCAAAGAATGCATGCGGCAGTTTTTAAGAGATCAGCTCACATTTAGTACGTTAAAATTGAGAGAAAAAAATATTTGGCAAGCGGATGGTTCACGTACTATGTCATATTCATTCAATATAAGAAAAGGTCAAGTGTTAAATCATGCGAAAGCTATGAATATATTATATCATTAGTCAAATTAGTTGCCTACTAAATTTATTTTGTTTGTGAGTTTGTGGTTATAAGTATACGATATGTATGTGTTGTGTACACATTATCTTTCAATACCAATTAATGTTTCTCAAAATTTATAATTGCGACTAACAACCTCGGAGTTACTTACTGTTTGTGTGTTACTTTTTAGTGAAGAGCTGTACTGTTTTACGGCTGAGGTTTGCCAACTGATTTTGGGGCAAGTTCTTTCACATTTAGTGACAGGTTTGGTGTCATCTGCTTATCTAATATGTTTGTATGTTCTATTTATTTTTTTGTGGACTCCTTGTGGAGTATGTGTAGTATATGGAGTGTGGAGGGTGTGAAGTGTGTGGAGTGTTTATAAGTAGGTATACGGTATGCATATTGTCATCTGTTTATCTTATATTTTTCCACACGTTCTATTTATTTTTTAAATTATTTTTGTGCAGTCTTCTGTAAGTTTCAATTAAAATTATACAACGAAAAGTGTGTTGAGTGCGTGAAGTGTGTGGAGTGCGTTGAGTGTGTGTAGAGTGCGTTAAGTTTGTGCGTAGAGTGCGTGGAATGTGTTGAGTGTGTGGAGTAGTAGTGAAGTTAAGAGTGCGAAATGCGTGGAGTGTATAGAACGCGTTGGGTGTGAGTGTGTGTAAATTACGTAACTGTGTTTGGTGTATGTGTGTGAAAAGTGTTAAGTATGTGCAGTGTAGTGGAACGTGTGGTATGTGTGGGGGATGTGGAGTGTGTATAAAGTGTGGAGGTGCGTGTAGTGTCTGGATTATGTGATGTATGCATAGAGTGTGTGGAGTTTGTGGTGTGTGTGGAGTGCGTGGATAGTGTGGTGTTGAGTTTGTGGTGTGCGTATGTGTATGCGCGTGTGAGTGTGAGCGTAAGTGTGTGTGGGTGGGTGAGTGGGTGGGGGGGTGAGTGTGTGAGTGCGTGACTTGGGCACAAAGCGAGCTACTTACTGCTGCAGGGCGGCACGCTGCGCGGCGCGCACGTGGTGCAGAAAGCGTAGCACGGGCTGCGCGCGGCCGCCGCCCGGCACGCCGTAGTCTGGCCAGCGCACGTACTGCCCGTGCCACACGCGCCGCGTCTGCTCCGTCTGCAAGCCGTACCTTCTTATTTACACTGTACGCCGTCACACAATACACCACCTATTTCGCATCTTAAATATTGTAAGAGGCGACTATCAGCATAGTCGAAAAATTCATATAGTCAACAGCGGTGCGTGCGTGCGTGCGTGCGCGCGCGCGCGCGCGCGTTTGTGTGTGTGTGTGTGTGTGCACGCGCACGCTCACCCGCAGATCGGTGAGCAGCAGGTGCGACACGACATAGTCCTCATGTGCGTCGACGGTTTCGGTGGCGACGGCGAAAGCGCCGTGCGTGGCGCGCGCGCCGGGCGCCGCGGGCCAGTACTGGCCGCACTTGACACGGCCACGCTCCACCGCGCGCGTCGTCATCACCACCACCAGGCTGCCCTGCTCCCACACCATGCGCCAGAAGTCGCCGAACGTCTTTGGCAGAGGACCTGCGGGACCGTAAAAGACGGTGCTTTTAATAGAATAACGATGATAAACGAGCACACAGTCCGCCTAGTGAAAAGTGGAAACTGTGGCCCAATAAAAGGGTTCACGCAATTCGCGTCGAAAATTTTGTGTGGTGTGCGATGAGCGAGAAAAATAATAATACCAGACGAATGGGAGGTGTCACATTGGCGCGTCTTGCGTATTAATCAAATCGTTTTGATTTTTCGCCGATGCAAAACATAAATACGGAGACATTTATGAGCGAAAAATTGTCTCAGTCTGCAATATGGTCTAGGTAAGCACGAAAATTATATCCATAATATTATATTTCTCAAAACTTTTGTGGGTATTGACGTATTTCATCATATAGTTTACGATATTCACCGAACTAATGCGTGTTTTAATTTAGACCATGAACTCCTAAATAACAAAAAAAAAACTACTCCCTTCTAGTCATTTTTGCCAGCGCCTCATCATGACATACTACAGCGGCAAGGCGCAGCGTCTTAACGCCTCCCGCCTCGGCAGGTCGCCTTCATTCACCGCAGTCGCTCTAGCGTGGCCAACGCCTTTTCAGTGCGATATCTTAGCGAAGTGAATAAATAATTTGCAGAACAATACGGTTTTAGAAAGATGCAACCTTTATTTAGTGCATTACAGCGACAAATTATATTTTTAATGATGGTTTTAGAGCGGAAGCAATCAAGCCTCAACAACGTTGTACGAAAATATGCGTCAGAATTATCTTTTCAGTTCGAATACAACCATTAACCTATACCATTAAACTATAAAAACTAGGGATGGGCCGAATATGGATTTCACCAAATACGAATATTCGGCCGAACGTTCGGTTAAATTTTTACCGAACCGAATATTCGGCCGAACATTATTCGGAAGGATTACCTCGGTACCTAACCAATTTATGTCGAAACTTGTTACCATAAAGCGCGCGGGATTAGCGCCGGAGCCTTCCCCTCGCTCCCCTGTTACACCTGACATGTTATTACATCATCTAGTATTGAGCAAATTGCCGGCACATGCTTATGTTTTGACTATTTTTGTGAGAAAAAAATTATTTCATTGTGTCATTCGTAGTGAAAATTGATAAGTATATGATGAAAATGAGTGGCAGGAGATCTACTATTTAGAACAATTTTAGAGGAACCGACGACTGTAATGTAATGTTTCTTTGTTTGATTCCAAACAAAATTTTATCAATCTTTCTATTTGCTATAATTGGAAATAAATATACAGTGCCTCAAAAAATAACGCTATATAAGTAGATTTAAGCCATAAATAAATATACATTCAACAGCAAAATTATGAAAGACATGGCATTACTCAATTCGTACATTTACATACAGTGGATACGTTGAGTACCACTTTACCGAATATTCGGTGATTTAGCCGAATATTCGGCCGAATACGAATATTCGGTAAACCTGCCGAATATGCCAAATACCGAATATAAAACGAATATTCGGCCCACCTCTAATAAAAACCTCACCTTATAAATTACAGTGGCGATCTACTCTACATATTATCATCACAAAAAATAGTACTATGTACAGAAGCACTCCTTTGATATTGACTGCTTGCCGACGTTTTAACATAACAAAACATAAACACTCACGCCTGTCACCCAGAGGGGTAGGCAGAGACTACGGACTTCCATTTGGCACGATCCTGACATACCTCTTTCGCCTCCTTTACATCCATATATCTACGCATACATGCTCGTCGGTTAAGGGTACTTCTAACGTGGCCCCTTTTCAAAATATCGCCAATTTGATCGATAAACTTTTTTCTAGGGTGTCCGTTCCCGACTCGGCCGTTCACATCTGCCATATAAATTTGCTTTGTCACTCTTTCCTCATTCATTCGTTCTACATGACCAAACCACCGAAGCATTCCTTTCCTAATCCTGGTCACAACATCATCTTGCATACCACATTTATCTCTTATCACGCAATTTCTCACCCTGTCATTCAGATTCAACCCTAGCATACTCCTTAAAAACCGCATTTCTATAGCATTTATTCTACTTTCGTGCTTCTTCTGCCACACCCAGCTTTCACTACCATACATTAAAGTAGGGACTAACACAGCATTATGAATTACCATACGTGCCTTTTTTGACACATTCTGGTTCTTCATAATAGAGTGTAGTGCCCCATTCACTCTATTCCCTGCATTTACTCGTCGTTCTATATCCCTATCATATCTACCATCCCTGCTAAATACACATCCCAAATACACAAACTCATCCACTTGCTCAATTTTAAGGTTTTAATAGCCAACATAATTATTATTAATTAGATAAATCACGCACGCAACTTTATCGCTGCAAGCGAGTGTTCGTATGGCTTTGCATCTTCCGCTTCCTACGTCACGGACGATATACCGTGATTACCTAGAGCTCTCAACAAAGAGCAAAAAATAGAATAAGTATTTTTTTACTTTAATACAATCTTATATTTTTACCGTCTCCAAAATAACGGCTATTGAATTTAAGAGTAGAAAAAACTCTAAGCCTGACGTATAATTTAAGTATATACTGAGAGGGAAAACATAGGCACGAAGTGATATAATTAATATGCATTAATACTTTAATTAATTATTTACTGTTTTTTTTTATTGTTTATTATTATGTTTGCAATTTGTTAATGATTGCATTTTCAACAATATAGGATAAGAGCGACAGTATAATTGGGTATTGGACACCACAGTACTAATAGTCGTTGCACGAATGAGTCGGCTCGACCGGAGAAGGGCCACGCTCTCACAGAATACCAGCCAGCGTAGAATAGTAGCTTAATGCTGTATGTTTCGTATGGTGAGTGTAGAGAACCGGAGACCCTTTTTACTGGAAACGAGGCATTCCTTCTTAGTACTCAAGGCTGGCAACGCATCTGCATTTTGATTTGTAATCGAGGATAGATGTAGATGTCTATGGGCCGCAGCAATCACTTAGCACCAGGTGGACTATATGCACGTTTGTCGCTCTATCTTATAAAAAAAATAAACAACAACATTTATGCAAGTATTTACAGTGTTTAAAAAACACTTTAAAGTTCTCTAGATCGTCGCTCGCCGAAAACACGCCAGTCCTGACTGCGTATGTAAGTTGAGGTTCCGCGCGATTATAGGTATTTATATCACGTGTATTTATATAGGAAACAACAAGAGACGGGCAGCAGCATCTACCTGATAACAACGCAAAATAATTTAAAACTGAAGTTGCCAAACCGCCTGCCAAGAGTGGCAACTATTGCAAATATAACTATATAAATATATGAGGCAATATGTGGGAGGCCTATGTACAGCAGTGGATATTTGATGCACTGTCATGATGATGATGATGATGAATAAAATTTAGCGCATAGGTATAATAAAATATACCCACCTTGCGTGCAAATGAACGCATTTTTCTGTTTGTACCCGTCGACGTAGTTTGCGTTGATATAGTCAGTGGTGGGGTCGTCGGGGTCGGTCTGCGACAGCAGCACGCGCGAGTGGTCGTAGCACAACACGTCCGTGTAACGATTCTTCGCCACATTACTCGGTAATCTATCAAGGAGACGCACGATTATTTATCCTCTGTAGCAATTTTTTAGAAATGGAACATGTACACGTGCAGAAGACGCACTTTGCAATGTAAGATGGGTTTTTGGAATATAGCGAAGTGGTTGGTGACGGAATTCAGATATCTTGGTTCATGTAAGTAGTAAGTAAGTTACTGCCTCGTTGGTCTAGTGGTTGTAGTAGTGTGACTGCTGATCATGAGGTCCTGGGTTCGAATCCCGGGTCGGGACAAAAAAATTCTCAGTAGCTGCCCGGAGTCAGGAAGTTGGCGGTGTCCTCACCCCCGTGCCTCGGAAAGCACGTAAAGCCGTTGGTCCTGCGCCTGATCTCTCTCCCGGTCGTGTCGGTTTACCGTCCCATCGGATTACGAGAGTGAGGGAATAGAGAGTGCACCTGTGCTTGCGCATACACTTGGGCACTATAATCCTGTCCTGCGCCGATGGCTAGCCTCCGTTGAGGCAGGCCGCCGTGGCCGAAATTCGTTTTGGAGGACATTATTAAGTAAGTAAGTAATATGTAATAACATTTTGATCCGAGCCAAGCAACCGAATGTATTAGTGTGTTTCTGTAGTCCCGGAAAAATAACGAGACAAACACCGTAGAGTTCGGGCCAATAGCACTGTATGAGTTATGATTGAAATCACTTAAGCCGGGTGCACATTTTAACAATGAGAAGAACACAGGCCCGTACGGATCCTTCTTTTACTTTACAAGCACCATGTTGATATGAGTATAACGTGTGCAATTAAGTAGGTTGAATTTTACATGCCAGTAATTTATTTCGTCCGAGGAAGTATCACGTTTGTATAGAATAAAAACCATAATGCTGCTGTATTTCGTATGGTAAGTGGAAAAACCGAAGTTACTTTTTACTGATAACGAGGCATTCCATTTCAGTCTTTAAGAATATCAATGGGCTACAGTATTCACTTATCCGCTTTCGGGACGCTTAATAAAATAAAATGATGTGTTTTACCTAGCTTGAAAAGCACCTCCTGCCCTCACTCAATTCGAAGAAGCAAAAGAAAAAATTAAAAAAATCATTAAGGCAATTTTGTGTATTAACATAATACACCAGAAGTTGATAAACTTTTATGTAAAACTAACTTCTCAATTAAATGATGTTGTGTAACAAAAAACTTCACCTCGGTGCCAACTAGCGATACTTGGTGAGTGGATAATTATTAGCCCTCATTGGAACATTTCAAATGCCTATGATTGAAAACCTTTAATCATGTCACATTGACAATCGCAATTGACTGTTTCATATATATATATATATATATATATATATATATATATATATATATATATATATATATATATATATACATATATCCTCTCGTCAGTCCAAAACCTTCTGAAGGTTGCTGTCAAAAAGTACGCATCTGTCCACAACCATCAGAAGGTTGCTGGTTACTTATAAACTTCAGATTCGAAACAGCCCTAGTAAAAGTATACGTATCTCCCTATAACTGGTACAACATGCAGAGAATTAAACAAAGACGGCAATTAATATCACACACGCTTCATAAACCAACCATAGAAGCTGTGAAATAGTAATACATTTATTCCGTTCAGTTGCTCGTTATGTGACGCGGTGTCGTGTGTTTACGTGCAAAATATTAATTGTTGAAAGTGATTTCGGAAGTCAATATTAAAGATAAACATGAATGGGTAAGTCATAAATACTTTTCTATTAATATAAAATATATTAGATGACGATTTGTACATAAATTGTTCCATTTTATCAAACATTGCTTGCCATTTCGACCGCCATGTTGAAACCATGATCGTATTAACTTCAATTGTTTTAAATTAAAAGTACAATTGTGAATGGTAAACATTATCTTAATATCGTTAACATACTTATTTACAAACATAACAATAATTACAATTGTATAGTTTCGATTAAATATTTCATAAAACTAAAAATAACAAATTGCTTAAATCTCTCGTCCACCTGGCGGTTGTGGACAGACATGGGTCGTAAAGTTATTCACATGAAATCCGCCATCTTAGAGAGCAGGTTGTATAGTATGGATACGATTTTGGGAATGCCAGTGTTGGTATATTTTTACGATAATTTTTGGTGTGGATTTTTATTTGTTTCGTTTTATTTTTTTGTCAATAAATTGTTTTACTTTTTGTATGTGCATGTCATTATATTTTTTTGCACTTGATTGACAAGTGAAACACTCTTTGTTTTCACTCTTAGCCCAAGGTTATCTGGAAGAGATTGCTTTTTGTACGTAGTAGTTTTTATTGCTAAGCAATAATCCTTAGCTCGTTGCGGTGCTATAGTTGGAATAGCCTCAAAGTACGAAACGGTCACCCATCCAGTTGCAAGCTAACGCGTGCATTGCTTAAACTTTATTATGGATCTCGCACGCAAGCTATCACTAGGCTAGGGTCACTTCAAATTAAGTAAAATAAAAAAAAATCTAAATAACAAAAATATAAATCTTTATTTTGGCAAAAAGAATTGTCAAACATTTTTTATAATAACATTCAAATGTTAATTAAAAATATAAAAAGCAAAGAAAAATAACTAATTTGTATTTCATTTTAATTTTATGTTCATGATTACAATTATTAAAGAAGTCACCACAGAAAGTATCCATACTAGCATAGCTGGGTACTACGTCATACTTGGTGCTTTTTGTAGTGAATGTGTAACTTTTAGTTGATGATTTCTAACATAATTTTGTATAAAAGATGCCTTATTTGTTTTGTTTTTAACTTAGGAAATGTTATTATATTTAGGAATGTACATTCACATGTAAATAAATTACAAAATTGTTCGTTACAAATGCAAAAGTTTGAAAGCATTTTTTTAGGGTCACTTTTTCAAGTGTTTGTTACAACTCGTTCATTTCTTAATAACTGAATAGTTGTAATATTTGAAACTGTTTATATTAAGAACAAAGACCAAACTATAGCATAAGTTAAGATTTATAGCCCATTGTGCCTCAGGTGTCGTCGATATTGAAGTACAAAATGTGCCTTTTTTTGTGCCTGTTTCGGGTTATCTTAAGTGGCCCACTTTATTGTAGAGCTTGTGGTGTGAAAAAACTGTACGTAGAGTTGTGTTTTTTTTATTCATTATTGTAAAGTGTGTTATCGTATAGTAAATGAAGTAAATATTTATTGAAATAATTGCTTAATTTTTTTAATGATTACATTTTATATTCAACAAACTAGAAAAAAATCGCTTCTAGCAATTTTACCACCAAATTTATAACATACCAAAAGGGTGAACGTACACATTTACACATATTCTATTAGCTTATTTAACAATAATTCTAACAACATATCATATTATATAGTTCCCATACATAAATATTAAGATATTGCCATTTTAATGACACGCGCCACGTAGGCAATATAACACTCGTTTAGGGTTTGACAGATGCGCCAAAGCGGCTATTTTGGCCCGGACTGCTGAGAGGATATATATACACTCACGCCTGTATGTGTGTCACGCCAGAGGGGTAGGCAGAGACTACAGACTTCCATTTGGCACGATCCTGACACTGACACACCTCTCTCGCCTCCTTCACATCCATATACCTACGCATACATGCTCGTCGGTTAAGGGTACTCCTAATTTGGCCCGTTTTTAATAAATCGCCAATTTGGTCGATAAATTTTCGCCTAGGACGTCCCTTTTCGATTCTGCCATTCACTTCTGCAACATAAATTTTTTGTCACTCTTTCCTTATTCATTCTTTCCACATGACCAAACCATTTCAGATACCCTTTAAAAGGATTTTAAGCGATGAGTGTGAAATGGATTACGGTTATTCGTTTTTTTTTATATATTTTGTACCTATCTGATATATCATTTTTAAAAGATTTATTTTCCTTGTTGGTGTGTAATGAGGTTTAGTTATAAGCTTAAACGTTATGATGTATCTAATAATGTTATATTGAGTGGCGGTGCCCACCAAAATTTGTGAAGAAATGGCCAAATAAATATCTCATTCTTTCTTTGTTTAAATGTAGAATCAGAAAGGACATTTGTGACCGACTGTAATGAGGCGGGGTTTTTGCGTAGTTTTTGCCAAATTTGAGGTGGCGGGTATGGCGGTACTTACTTGGCGTGGTGGAAGGTGCCGTGCGGCGGGCGCGCGCGGATGTCGTCGTACTCGGCGAGCAGGCCGCGGCGGCCGAGCGCGCGCAGCCGCGCCAGCAGCGCGCCCGCCGCCTCACCCGGGCCGCCGCCGCCGCACTCCTCGTCCGACAGCCCGGGCGACGCCTCGCCCGACGACCACGTGCCGCGCGCTGCGTGCACACAACACACACACATAATGGGTGCGTTTGGCAGAAAAAAGCGCTTTACAAGCGCTTTTAAGCAAAATGGCGATCGTAAGCGGTAAGCGCTGTCAAATCGTAAGTAGCTATTTTCCTCTAGGACAAGAAGTTAGCTTTAACCGGGGAACCTAACCTAATTTAAATATATGTTTGTAAAGTATTCATATTAAAAACTTACCAATCACGAAATTTTAATAACATGTATATGTTAATTCATGTCATTACATAATTAAAAATAATATTGCACAAAACAACTTATAAACCCTACTTCAAAACAAACAAATTAAATAAGAAAAATGGCGGATTGTGTCAGCGCTACTGAAGTTAGCAAACGTGTCCTGGCCGAAAACTGTTTAGTTTCGCCATTTTGCTTACAAGCGCTTGCTAGCGCTTTTTTCTGCCAAACACACCCAATATTCACACAAATCTTTTTACCTTGAGACCACAGACCACCCAGCCTACGAGACATGTAACGAAAGGCGATAAATCTACTTATATACTACATCTGCTCAACCAGCGCCTATATAGTTGAACACGAACGCTTAGTGCTTAGCTTAATGCTGCTGTGTTTCGTATGGTCAGTGTAGAGAACCGGAGATCCGTTTTACTGGAAACGAGGGATTCCATCTAAGTCCTCACGGGTGACAACGCATCTGCATTTTGATTCGTAATCGAGGATAGATGTAGATGTCTATGGGCCACAGCAACCACTTACCATCAGGTGGACTGTGTGCTCGTTTGTTACCCCATACTATATAAAAAAGGTCTAATGGCGCAGTAAGAGAATTCAGCATTTCGTCCCGTGTATGTCGTAAAAGGCGTCTATGGGATATTTCAAAAACGATCTCGTCCGATAGCAAAATAAATTCTCTATTCTCTAAAAATATAATTCTCTCTGTAAATTCGTAGACATCCTAAAATTATATATTACATCCGAACATCCGATTATATAAAGTAAAACTAATGTTATCTTTCCAAACTAATTTTAATTAATAATGTTAATCACATTTGCATAGATTATGAAACCTACGTATAGAGAAATTATATGAATAAAATTTTAACAAGCCTCAGGTATGTTTACATAAGCATAAATATTCATAGAAGCTTAATGAAAAATATTTTCCAGAGTAATACTATGTTAAATTTATCAATATCTTTTCGTGACGTGCAAGGGGTGAATAGCCATCTAAAATATGGCGTAGTTCCATCCACTACAGCCTACAAAAGTCCACTGCCGTACATAAGCCTCCCCACAGATTGCTTCATATGGGGACATTTGCCATAGCTGCCAACCTTGGCAAGTGGGTTGGCAACCGCAGTTTTTAATTTTTTTTGTTATGAGTCTCCTGATTTATTTCTCTACTTATATCACCTCTTACGATACCCACGGGAGGATATGGAGTAGTGGATATTCTTACACCGCCACTACACGGTATTTTATTATCGCGTAGTTACGTACAGTTAATTTTGATATGTTGATATATGATCTTTTAGCTATTTTGATTTTCTTTCATATTGACCGCGACTTATGCTACTATTGTTTTCCATTAGTATGGACTTCAAGGATTATTTTGCCACGTTTAACTCATTTTTGACCCGAGTGTGGGTTTTTACTATAGCTTGTTCCCAATTTCGAAGAAAAACAAAAGGTATTTCCTAACAAGATTTTCGACAGCAGTTATGTTTCTAACGATACGCAAGTACAAATAAAAATAACTTTAATATTCACTAACTGGAATTTTGCGAACGTTTCCAAACATTGTTAATTTAATTTCACGTCAATCAAACTGAACAATGTTTACCAAAACGGCGACTTTACGATAAACATTAAGGTAAATTAACTTGACTCTGTTTGTTTTACGTAAATAAGAATCAATAACTCTCGTCAGTTATTTCCAATAAAATAGAAAAAACATATTTATTACTTGCGACGAATGTTCCGTTATTATTCGCTATTCGGCCTATTCGGTAACTTTTATCCTATTCGGTCGAATACCGAATATCTAGATACTATTCTGCCGAATACCGAATACTTAAGTAAGAGGTTTTATTGTAGTCAGATAATTGGTAAAATGAAAATATTTATCTATTTTATAATTAATTTTTTTCTTGTAATTATTTAAGTAGTCACGTCTATGACAATCAACGATAAAAATGATAATCAACTTCCATATTATAAAAATTTAAAAAGAGCTGTTAGATAAATGCCTATGCATTCGAATTACTCGTATCGTAATTAAAATAGAAAATAATGGTTCAGAAAGACTAATTTATTTAATTTTCAGGCAGCAGTTTATTCCTTTCCTTCTCTTTCTAGACAATCCCAGCTTCAGAGAATAAACGCTCTGAAACTACGCATTGTCCATCTTGGCAGAGTACTCTTTCAGAGTGGAGGCGGGCGCGGGTGCTAGCGCGGGCGCGTGTAAATCAAAATGTATGTAGACGCCAGTTGCATTCAGAGTGCTCCCGCGAGCCGAGCGTCTGCATGAGGCGGGCGCGGGCGCACTCGGCGCGGGTGTTTCTAATGGCTGGGTCCGCTCGCATCGTTCACAGTGATTTAGCGTCTGTTAGGTGTTTACGCTTGTGGTTCTAAACCATTTTGATTCACCCGCCGAAGCGTCGTCAATCATCATGGATATCAATACGGAAGAATTTATATCTGCAGTACAACATCGCACTGCTATTTGGCAGAGCAAACATCTGTAACATTTAAATAGGGTGGCTATAAATAAATGAATTATGGGAAGAAATAAATGGGTGTCAATCTTGACTAAACATGGATCTCGGAGATCTTATTTAATATGTAGTCAAAAGTGTCTAATGACATTCTCGTGTATTCAAAGAATTTATCGGGATACGTCCGTAAATCAGCGTATAATACATAAAATTCTCTAAACTCTTCTCTTCCTTTATTTAAATCGTGTGTGCCAAACTTCTATATTGCAATTTCCATTTCAAGTATGAATTTTCCATTAATAAAAGCAAATCTTCGTCAGTCTTCTAAATACGTAGCAAAGTTTGAGAACGACCAAACACATTTGCAATGACACTCGTAGCTTGTTTGGCACTCTGAATATGCAGACTCCAAGATCCGAGCGCCCGCGCCCGCCCCCGCACCCGCTAGTGCAGTCTGATTGGGCGCAGAGATTACAAACGTATTTATCCACTAGAAATGCCTATTTTGAAAGCGTTTATCAACTCCCAACTTACGGTATCATATACTGGGGAAACAACAGATATACAATCCACATTTCTCTTTCTAGACAATCCCAGCTTCAGAGAATAAACGCTCTGAAACTACGCCTTGTGCATCTTGGCAGAGATTACAAATGTATTTATCATTAGAAATGCCTATTTTGAAAGCGTTTATCAACTCCCAACTTACGGTATCATATACTGGGGAAACAACAGATATACAATCCACATTTCTCTTTTTAGACAATTCCAGCTTCAGAGAATAAACACTCTGAAACTACGCCTTGTCCATCTTGGCAGAGATTACAAATGTATTTAACATTAGAAATGTCTATTTTGAAAGCGTTTATCAACTCCCAACTTACGGTATCATATACTGGGGAAACAACAGATATACAATCCACATTTCTCTTTCTAGACAATCCCAGCTTCAGAGAATAAACGCTCTGAAACTACGCCTTGTATATCTTGGCAGAGATTACAAATGTATTTATCATTAGAAATGCCTATTTTGAAAGCGTTTATCAACTCCCAACTTACGGTATCATATACTGGGGAAACAACAGATATACAATCCACATTTCTCTTTCTAGACAATCCCAGCTTCAGAGAATAAACGCTCTGAAACTACGCCTTGTATATCTTGGCAGAGATTACAAATGTATTTATCATTAGAAATGCCTATTTTGAAAGCGTTTATCAACTCCCAACTTACGGTATCATATACTGGGGAAACAAAAGATATACAATCCACATTCGTTCTCTACAAAAAATTTCTTTTTGATATCTGATTCAAAGAAAAATATTCGCAGACAATATAATTATGATATAAACTTACCCACTATTAGATATATAATTTATTATAAAAGTACCAATATTACTGCTATTCGTGTTGCTAAACCAGTTACCACCAGCTATTAAACAGTTAAAATGAAATATGTTCAAAACAAAATTAAAGAAATTGTTAAGTGAAAATGTTTTTTTTACAATTTAAATGAGTTTTTAGTAAAAAGGAGTAATCTTATTAAGTAATTAATTTTAAACTTATTTTCTTTCTTGTTGCATATCCGACTGTAGACTGTTGAGCTTAAAACTATATGTTTTGATATTAAGATCATATTGTACACAGTAATGCAATAAATGTATCTTTATCTTTACGCTCTAAACACTACTTGCTTCCCGACTAAATACTCCTAATATACGGTAATCGGCCAGGAAGCCCGCAGAATACTCGGTATGGAGTGTAGCCGAATATACTACTCGTTGCAAGTCTAATACAATAGAACCTCAATAAGATAAAGACCAAGGGAAACATTAAATAATTTAAGTTATTGAGGTTTTTACTTACTAAGGGTGAAAGGAGTTTTTATTGGTTTATGTAAGCACTAACAGAGGTTCGTTTATGAGCTTTGTTTAGGAATTATATACATAGATAGACGAACAAGGTTAAATGCAAATGAAACTTTTAAATTATGTTAATACATATGTACAGATGTCGATGTAAAGATACATTTATTCAAGTTTATTTTATTCTACATAAAAAAGTCGGTAATTTTTTTTTTTGTTTCAAACTATTCACACTTTCTATATCAGTTTTATTTTCAATATTAAATAAAGAAGAGAAAATATCATTCTCTGTGTTACTGCATTACTCTATAAAAGATCGTAAATATCTCTTGAAAAAAGCTAATGATACAAATAAGTTACTGTACTTAGACCTTAGTGTATTGTTTACATTTGAAGCCATTGGTACCTAAGCACATGTAATCAATAACAATGGTCTACAGTAGTATTATTGATCGAAGGTCTACAGGGAACCTTTATTTGCACATTCATTTAAAATGAGTCATTGAGAGATGGTTAAAGTTGCAAAGGTCGTCTTCATTACAACATTGAGTTACTGAGGTGTGATGCCAATTATTCGTTTAAGTTACAGAGGGTTTGTATTTTAAGTAAAAGAGGTTTTGGACTCCGAGTGGAAGGGAAAACAAAAATTTTATGAATTTATAGAGGTTATTACATTGTCGAGGTTTAAGTTATCAAGGTTCTACTGTATTTCTTTACAATTGTGTAACCGAAGTACGAAAGTCATACCGACTTAAGGTGATGCCGCAATACTATTTAACTTTTTTGAGCATGTCTAATCTAAATGTAATTATTCCTCAAAGCAAAATTCATTAAATAAAAATTGAAGACAAAAACGCAAACCAAAACACTATCCTCGATAAAAAAAATCGTATAGGTACGTTAAACATACATTAAACCGGTATTTTAACGTGTAAAGGTACAGGCAGAGATTCTACAATAAAACCGTGTAAAAGCTATATAAAATGAAAAGGCCCATTATTTTTGAGTTTATATAGCGAAAACATTTTATTTCATGATTTCGATTTTTATTTTATAAAATATTAAACAAAATTTTAGTGCTAGGGCTCGCTATGGCGGTCACCCGTCCAGTGTCGGCCAAAACATCTCCGAATTTGGACATCGTTGTTTGTTCTAAAATGTTCTATGCTTTCGCACCTATACGCCGTACTACAAGACTATACATGTCCATTAGGCGCATTATATATTTTAGAAATGCTACGTAGTTGTTAATATGTTAATAATTATATATAATTAATAATATGTTTAAGTCCATGAAGTGAAAATTAATACACCAATGTTAAACACTCGCTCTACCCGCGGTGCCATAAATCATGGGTGCGGTAGGGGCAGACGCATGCGGTGCGTCACTTATCGGTTTCAGGTATACAAAAAGTACTCTGTGCTTATCGGTAACAGCTTATTGATTCTTAGAAGGATGAAGAATAGTGTGCACTAGCTAGGTAATTTCATAATTACTCTGCAAAGGTGATTCAATTGTTATAAATTACGTTTAGAGGGTATGAATACCTGTTTTAATATGTTTCCATAGTTATTTGACATTTGGAAGTTGCAGATAACGTAGATTTGGAAAGTAATATTAAACGTGTTGGAATAAATCTTCAACCTCTAGCGCACATTGTTATTAACAATATGCTAACGTTTTAACGTAAATTAAAGATCCCGAAAATTAATTTATCCCGAGTATTAATTTCAACAAAGCTCGTAAAATAACTGCCAAGATTTTTGGGATCAGTTTAAAACTGTTGGGAACATTAGACGGGAGTACAGTGCACTGATGAAGCACCAACTTGCCGACCAAGTCCAATGAGAGATTTTGATGACTTTTGAACTCGTTTATATTTTAAAGAGAATTGACGCAGTCGATTCGCACTCGTAAACTGAATTAGAGACTGTTTATTTAAAAAAAATCATAGTTCATAATTAAGAAAATATGAAGAAGCTGTTCTTCATATAATTCAAAGTAATGCAATAATTATTATTATGCTTATAGACACATACCGCGGTCACTTCCCTCATCACCCATAGTGAAATATCCCATAAATTATTATTATGTACAGAACGTGAGTTCCTCCATACAAATACCATTTCACGACCTCATAATCACATAACCACAAATAGTGAGAACAAATCTCAGGAACAACGTCAATTTGAAAGATGTCAAATCAACTGACACTTAAATACAATAAAAAATCGATTATTTGTCCAAGGAAAATAGTTTTTAACCTATACTACCAAAGAGTATGAGTTTATATTACATGTAGAGAGATCGCTTTTTTCAAATTGTATTCCAAGTGGTATAGATTAATAATACTCATAAGAAATGTTTGATCACCTTCTTTGTGTTTTAAACGTGAAATTTACAAATTTCGTTTAATTATTTCACAATTCACGAAATAAGACACGTTTTAACTTAGGTTACAGCTGCTTTAACTTAGGATATAACGCAATCTTTCAAATGTTGTTCTAAACAGTGATTTCAACAGTTTATTGTGTCTACGTGCTTAAAGCCTTAAACAAACTGCGACACCATTTTCTCGTTCATTGTAAATAACACCCTGACGGAAACAATCTCTTTAACAAGTCTTTCAGAAATTACATGGGATACTTAAAATCAAGAGTTAACAAGCGTAAACTTATTTACTCTCGATTTAAAGTATCCCAAGTAATTGATTAAAACTACTTTTACGGATTTTATCGCGTTTAATTATATTTTTAATTATTTTTATTTTTAATTCCCGACGTTCACTACGAAAAGTAGTTTTAATCAATGTGTAGTGTTCGCGTAAATATAAGAAATCATTATGTATCCCAAGTAATTTCTGAACTTACGGTAAAGAAAATTCACATCTAGAATTATAACATACATATATGACATCGGTGAAATACCGTAACCGTTACAGTTTATTAATGTCCACTTTCGAACATAGTGATCCCCCCCCCCTCCCATAGATTGCCTCATATGGCGGGATATTCGCCATAGGCCGCCACGCACGGATTTGCAACCGCAGTATTTTTAATTTTTAGTTGTTATTAGGAAGACGCTGCTCCCATCTCCTGATTTGTTCCCCTCCGTCACCTCTTACGACACCCACGGGATGATGTGGGATAGTGGATATTCTTAACCGTCACTACACGGTACAATCTATTAAACAGAACTTACTTATCAAATCTGCGTCATCTTCATCGCCGGAGTTGATGTGCCCGCCCTTCATATCACCATTGTAGCCGTGAGAGTGCCTGTAAGCAAAGACATATTTTCTATTTTAATTCTGAAATGACATGATACATCACCATTAGCCCATAATAGATTGCGATATGACACAAATTATGCCCACATGCAAATCTTTAAATGTAACAAATGCCAGTGTGTATTGATAACAAAAATATAATAAGATATTTCAAATGAGAAAATTGTTAGGATCAAAATGTAGTGCATACTATATCAATTACCTTTTTCTGAAAAATATATTTGTTTGTACAATCTACACTATGAATCGATATTTTTCCTATATTTGTTAGGAATGGTTGTGTTTTTGAGATAGTAAAGTAAAGTTACAGTCTATATACGTCCCACGGCTGGGCACAGGCCTCCCCTCATTTCTGAGAGGGTTTTAGGGCAAGGAAGTGTCCGCCACGCTGCCCCAATGCGTGTTGGCGAACTTCACATGTCTTCGAAAAAAAATTTTTCTTATTCCTCAGACATGCAGGTTTCCTCACGATGTTTTCCTTCACCGCCGAGCACGTGATAAATCAGCACTTAATATTGCAATTAACAATTTCATTGGTACCAGCGGGGATCGAACCCGGGTTACTCGCGTTCTGTTATATTTACAGCGAGCGTTAACCATCTGAGCTACCACGGCATTAACCATTAGACTGTTAACCATTTGAAATAGACGCTGTAACAAAATCGGTATACAACCGTCCATTTTGGTCCTCCATTTCTTTATTTTTGGAGAACAAAAAGGATAAAATAATATATTTGTTCTTTAATTAATGAGCTCTGGAACGACACATGTTAAGGTAATATTTTTTTTAATTGGGACAACTAAAAATAACTTAAATTAACTTCTAAATCAATATTCGATTTTGAGTCAACATTCTATACCAAATATCGAAATCTTAGGTCTCTTAATCATTCAGGCTACGAACTAGAGATCCGTGACATACGGAAGGACAGACGAATAGGAAGGTAGACCAGAATGACATTAAAAGGGTTGTATTTTACCCCTTGGGTGGGTACAGAAGTCTAAAAACGAATCAATGTAAAATAATAAAAAAATTATTGAAATTCAAAATGCATAAACCTAAATTTTATAAAACGCAACTCAATAATGTATTTTACCCTTACGTTCATAGATCAATTTTCATTAGGAATAATTTATTAACATTTTTAAAACATAGTTTTTAAATACAAAAGGAAGCACAACGGAATTAAACCATATTTCCTCTTGCCCCAGCTCTTGTAAAACAAGCTGCGCAGCGCGTTTACTAACACCGAATAATCCGTTGTGTTAGTTAGTTTAAGTCGCAAAAGAAATACAATAAAGCAAGAAGAGAGTTAAGGCTACGTCAAATATAAAGCTGATTCGCGCTTTTATTTTAAAGTGCACAACGAACCGCTTATTCCGGTTAGAGACACTGAGGATCCATATACTCGGAAACGTGTGTTCGCTTATCCACATCGGACAGTAATTTTGTTTATCCAATCTTGTGCAAAAATGCATAATATGTATAAATAATAAATTAACATATTATTTACTTAGACATAAAGTACACGTTTTTTAAATGAAGAATATATAACAAAAGATTTAATATTATATTGAAATTAAAATTAGCCTTCTTAATTAATAGTACCCGGATGAACGAGCTTTGCTCGGTTTTTTTTTAAATTACATTTATAAATTACCTACTGATGAAACATCAATAATATTTTTTGATCATATTGACAGAATAGAAAAAACTGAATTATTTGAATAAAAAAATCATGAGTGCAAATAGTTTTATCACAATTTTCGTATTTTTAAAAAATACTAAAAAAAGGGGCTTGAAATAATAGATTTTCTCATAAAAGAAGCGAACTTGAAAAAAAAAAGGGAAAAAAGCCGGACCAGAGACAGGACGCAAACCACAGAACTCCGATATCACGCCCGACCGACATCCCACCTGAGCTATTACGATTGTTAATGATCTGACAAAATTTACCTTTTTTATATTGTAGCAGTTTTTTATTGCTTGAATACACGGACAAAAAGACATTTTCTAAAAATAAATCCTAGCTAGCTCGATTTATTGCCCCCGAAACTCCCTGGACATTATGAAAATCGTTGGAGTCGTTTCCGGGATTCCAATTTATATATATATATATATATATATATATATATATATATATATATATATATATATATATATATATATATATATATATATATATAATATACACATATATATACAAGAATTGCTCGTTTAATGGTATAGGATTTGTAATTTATAAATTCTGCGATATATACGAAAAATGTCCAACAATATACTAAACATACAAAACATAAAATCTCACGCCTGTCACAGAGATCGAGAGGTGTAGACTAACGTCCAAATACTCAAACGCTACTCAATATAAAGATGCCGTTAATTCCCGTGCTGTCTCTATAGGTCCCCCATTTTCGCACATGCTAATCCCAACCTTATAAATGAACTTCAAATAGTTCAAAATCTCTTCTGTCGTAGGGCCACGAACTCGCCCTATTATGCCCGTAACGCCGACCCCCATCGAGACTTAGAGCTCCCAACAATTCAGCAGTTACTCAAATCACTCTCTGAGAGATTTTTCAAAGCCTCAGAGTTCCACTCAAATCGCCTCATTCGTGAGACAGCTGCCTATGCAGCCCCTCTTTACACTCGCTATAGTGTGCGCAGACCGAGAAACTCTATCTCGGACCCCCCCCCCAACAAGCTTTCGGCTGACCTGAACTGCCTCCTGGCGGCTCAGGCCGAGCCTACATAACACAACCCTTAATCTGCCTTAGTTAGGCACTCTTCTAAGCGGCTTTTCGCCGCTTGCGCCCTCCTTTCTGCCAAGGAGGGTCGCGTTCGTATAAGGTTTAAAGATCTCTCGACAGATCGGTAAGCCAATCTCTAAAGGCAGTGTTTAGTGGGTAAAAGTCTCCACATAACCACGCCTCCCTCCCCCGTTTTCCGGAGAATTGCCCTTATTGCTTCGGGCGCAAAAAAATAACTCTACAGGTGGGTCTACGCTAGAGGAGCCGAGCACGAGTTGAGCACAAGCTGAGCCACTCTACACGCAGTGTCAAGTATGGACGTGCGTGCGATGCAAATCCCTTTTGTGTTCGTCAAAAAACCGACAATAGGCGGGGCACAGTCGAGCACGAACCAAACGCTCGAAGCGCGCTCGTTCGAGGCTTGTAAGTCGGTCCACACTACACGAATTTGTGCTCGGCTCGTCTAGCGTAGACCCACCTTTAAAATTGAGTAGCGTTTGAGTATTTCGCTGGGATCCTGACAACCCTACCTCGTTTCTTTCACATCCAAATATCTACGCATACATAATAGTTAAATAGTTAGTTAAGTAGCCGTAACTATGTATATCAAGGATAAATCCGTCTCTGCTAATGTATATTTCTAATTGTTATTTATTTATTTTTAAAAAAATTAACCTACTTCTGATGCAGAGATCTCATTAACTGATTAATCCAACGGGATAATACTTTCGAGTAGATGTTAGTAGCGTATATATTATTTGACACCGCATTCGAGGCTGCATTCTATCTCAACGCACAAATTAACATTAACAATTAATTAACAAAGTAAGCACGAGGATGTGCTTTTGTTCATTCTCTTTAATTTCCGGAATCATTATTGAACCTTTATGATCGTAATTTTGAATTATTTTTGAGGGTCATCGTTATTTTAATGTCTTATGTATTTGCTTGTACATTAATCTGACTTTAACGCTTGTTTTACAAAGGCCTTATATGTGCGTTATACACAAAACGAATAGTCTATTAAAAAAAAGTCCCACTTATCCGTATTCTAAGAATGTAATCATACCAAAAGTAACAAATTACAACACGTACACATAAGCTATTCAAACAAAATTGGTCTGGGCAAGTACTCGTATTATCCTTTTGTCAATTCTACCGCTCACCAGCAATGTAACAATTATTCATCGTTCTGTCTTAGTGTTTCTTATAAGCAGAGTTACAAAATCGGTTTCAGAAATCCACGGGCTACAATATCTATGTACGTACATTTAGACTGACTGTTGGCTCCTTTAGTCTTAATACATTCTGAATACAAAAACACTTATTAATTGTGACGGTGTCGTAATTACTGCACTAAATTACTTTCAAATAAGCATTCGGCATCTTTTACGAAATTACATCCGATTGAGAAAAGCAAGTTGAAAATATATTGATATAATATATTCCTCTAGCGGTTAAGGTTTACGAAGAGATGCCAAAAAATATCTAGACTTCTCATTCTTTTCTGAAAAATGTAGGACATTTGGCGAGCTTATAATGCCCGCCCTATTTTCCGAGAAATAAATTCCGCGTCGTAAAATGTTAAAATGCACTGTGTTGCACGCATTGCGCATACTAAAGAGTACAATTCAAAGCTAATATTTTACCAGAAATATGCTTCTGGATTTTAAAATAGAAAAATATTTTAATTCAAAATTCTGGACTATTTTTCTATATATGTATATGACAATAATTTCTATATATGTATATGACAGAACGAATTTGTTAAATATGCATGTTTGAGTATCCAATATAACCACTATATTACATTATATATTAAAAAAATTACATGTCACATTGTCCGCGGTGAACTCCGAAACCATTCAACCGATTTTAATAAAATATTGTAACAGTGTGTTGTTTGCTCCAATTTTATAGATAGGACTGTTTGTATACTGATAAGTGACCCTGAATATTTTTAATTGCGAATTTAAAGATTTCTTATAGGGCAAAGGGTCGTTGGAAAGGGCAGAATTAAGGCCAGCTAACTTTCATTATAAATGTTTAAGTATAGAATCCATTCAGCAGCGCTAAGAAATATAATTAAAGTTATTTCCACTATTGTAGCCCAATAGCAACGAATTCGTTTTCTAGTGGTAGCGGAATTTCATGCGCGACGACTAAATGCCTTTCTCTTTCTTTTGCTACTAATACTACCTTACTGACTAATAAATAAATTTTTCCTTCTGTTGTTAACTTTATCATGTACTAGCTATTCCCCGCGACTTCACCCGCGTATAATTTAGGATTTAAATTGTTTTGCGCGGAAAACAATTTAAACCCTAAATTATACGCGGATATATCTTTCTTTAAATTTAAAGGAACCTACTTTACTACTTATAATATCGGCTATAAGCCAGTGGAAGTCCCGTTAAAATCGGTCGTCGCGTCAAAAAACTAACAGACTGGTAAACAAAAATTTTAATAATTGTGTTTTTGTTATAAGTACCGTATAATATATACATATAATATATAATACATATGCATTTAGTAAAAAGATGTTATAATTGATTTTTATATAATATACTGGATGACCTTTTTTACCGTCTGGAAAAAATAGGATGTAAGGCTTAGCACGCACTGCGATTAAACGCGAGTAGTTTAGGAATAGCTGAAAACGCAAAATCGCATACAATCACGCATCACGCACTGCGATTGGCGTTTTGCTTCACTTTATTTGGTTTTTAGTTTAAGAAAGAGAAAACGTAAACAACGCCGCCGCTATAATTATTAGTTACATTCATATAATAGACAAAGATAACCGACCAAAGACATCTGAAAGGACACTTATGCAAAATGTACAACGACGTGCGACATCATCTCGAACAATAAAATAAATAAAAAACCGAAGGCGGTTAACCGCTGTGCGTGCGCCGCCATACTATTACTATTTGACACAAACCGCGAAAATGTAGCAACAAGCTACGTTTTTAAAATCAGACACTGAAAAAAGTCGCTAATGCGTGCGCTTGTATAGAAAGCTATGTGTTACCTTTTTTGCGGTTTCAGACGTGCGGTTAAACGCGTGCGTTTAATAGCAGTGCGTGCTAAGCCTAACATGTCAACGGAATAGAAGCCAAAACAAAAATTTTTAAATAAATAAATCAATTAAAATCTATCGAAATTCATATCATATCCACCCTACTTTATGTGCGGCAATAAAACAATAAATTTAGTAGGCATCTTTGACCTTGTCACTTCGCAGGGTCACAGGCTCAAGGGCAAAAAGCAAAATAATTGTTAAAAAAAATTAAAACGTTTATTTTTTTAAATATTAGTGCCATAGGCTTCTACTCTGTTCACATGTTAAACCCTATTTTTTTCCAGACGGTAAAAAATGTCATCCAGTAGAGATTTAGCCCTACATTCACTCGTCGTTCTATAATCCTAACCATGTCTATCATATCTGTTTAAAACAACGTTTAGACGAAGCCAGTAACGCTGGCGCCAGTCCTCGGACAAGCCAGCGCTGGCCTGGCCCGTGTTGTTTAGATGAGGCCAAATGGATTCATTTCATTCCTAGATTATCTTTGTAAAACGTATTAAATTAATTATTTTTTAAACTTAAACTGAAAATAATGTTTATCATATAGTACATACATCAAATATAGGAATTTGTACAATATCAATTAATATAAATTATATATTATAATAGTAAATTCTTTATATTACAAATTATTTGTTCTGGAGCGGGGGTTGCGGGGCACGCGGGCGGAGGTCACTGGCTTGAAAAATTGGCAGGTGCTCTATTCCCGCAAGTGTTGGCAGCCAGCGCTGGCTTATCTTGAAAAACTGTTTATACGAGGCCAATAACAAACCAGCAGTGGTTGCGACTAAAACTGGCAGCCAACACTGGCTTCATCTAAACCTTGCTTTATACACATCCTAAATACACTAATAATCTCATCCTGATTTCGTTACACATGTTTTACTTTCTTCGATTTAAAAAAAACATCACTATCGTCTTACTCACGTTAACTTTTATTTACATTTCTTATAAAGATATGTTTTTATTTCAATATTGTTTTGTTTTTATTACTTTTATTTCTATCATCTTATACTTATAACATTAAACTTGTGAGGACTTTTCATTCCTTTCGCCATTTAATTTTGTGAGAAACATATTATGTGTACAATATAAAACAAGTTATATTCCGTGGAGACCTCACCTGAGCGGGCTGGTGTCGCAGGTGTACGGCGGGTCGCTGATGTGCATGATGTCGGCCTGGTTGTCGCCGATCCGGGCCACGCGGTCGCTGGTCATGTCACATGCAACTTCGTGCTCTATTAAACCTATCGGACACACACACAATTGTCAACTAAGCTCAGACACACAGTACAGACGAAAGTTCTATCGCAGGGCACAGGTCTTCTCTAGTTTTTGAAGAGTCAGACTAGAGAGGCCTGACTAATCCAGTGCATGTTGGCAGATTTCTAAAATCCCCTTACTTTACCCGACTGTCCCAGAAGAACAGTAATATTTGTCGCGTGTATGTATGTACATATGTAAGTACATAATATACGTATGTTTATACGTTAGTATGCATATTTGATTTTCCCTTTGTATGCCTTGCATTAATTGAGAGTTCGAAATGTTGTTGGATTAGTCTTTATTTTCAAAGAACCATGACAAATATTTTATAGTTCATCTGAGTCCAAGTGGTGTGTATAATACTTTTTGCCCAGGAGAACGTCTGTGTGGGTACTATAATCATACTATTACCGGCAACAAGTAATAGTTTGAGCAAAGAACGCTATTTAGCGACAGAAATCAGTAAAAAACTAGAACTTAACCAGACGAGCTCCTAGGTTAAAAACAAGTCCTACCATCTAGGAAGCTTTTTTTTCGAAATGTATTTAAATACTCTTTTAACACTTTCACTATCCCGTGACATACATATGGGTCATTGTTATTGTATTACTGTTGTGTCTGGTAACCGAAACACGTGTCGTATTATCGTCGATGGTGTGTCTTTCCTGGAATAGTGGTGTTGGGAGTAGTGGTGCCGGGAGTAGTGGTGTTGGGAGTAGTGGTGCTGGGATTAATGGTGACGGGATTAGTGCACACAACTGAGGGAGGGCGGGAGGTGCTCTTCAATCCAGGTAAGACACATCATTGCGTTTAATTAAGCGGATAGTTGCGAATTAAATATTAATATCTTTGTTATAATGGATTTCCGCAAAGTAACGCCTGATTCTATCAATTATGATATTTATAACGGTGTTTTACTCATTTTGTTCGTTGCTTTAGGTTCGGTTATGATAGATAGTAGGGATAGGCTAACCTCATTATGAGATATTATACATCGTGTTGTGAACTATAACTAGTAAAGTAAACAAGTAATCAACCGTATTACATATTACTCTTCCTGCGACTCCTGTAATACATATTTAGGAAGTGAATTCCGAGTGAATCTTAATTAAGCACGGTCTTCAACTATCAAGGAATTCTTACCATTTTGCGTCTTAACCGGCGGAATGTAGTTACTGATAACATATTCGTCTATAACGCCATCTAATTTGTTGTTCTGAATATTGTTCGTGTAACAATTTCTACAATGCTCCAACCTGAAATTAAAAAGTTTAAATTAATGATTTCATTTTATGATAGAAACGGCGGCTTAACAGAATTTATCACTTCTAATCCTTACCGAGGAAGTCGAGATTTCGTTGACGCATAGTCAAAATTATTTTTTTATAAAACTAAAAGCCGGTATGTACTTCAAACACTGACCTACATAAATATGTATAATAGAGGTCAGTGACTTCACTAAAAATAACAACAAAATTCTTTATAAGAGCTTCTTTACTTTTATGAAGAGTTTAATGTTTGACCCTCTTAAGCGAACTTAGCACAAGCAAAAGCTTATGGTAACTAGAATGATATTAAAATAATTATATTAAAAACTGAAGCATGAAATAATTTTTAAGTTTATATGGATAGATTACGCCCTTGCAGTAAAACCTACTTAAACAAAACACATCTTTAGAAAAGGTTCTCAATTGACAAAGATACCGCGTAACGTACCACACAAAAAATAACATGTAGTCGAATTGAGAACATCCTCCTTTTCTAAGTCGACAAATAAAATACCTGGACTATGGCAGATTGTCTTTACAACGTTATACACAAATATCCACACGTTAGTACATGTAATCGAACTAAGAACTTTTTTTGTTTTGTTTTTTATAAGATAAGGATGACAAGAGAGCACACAGACCACCTGATGGTAAGTGGTTGTTGTGGCCCATAGACATCTACATCTATCCTCGATTACGAATAAAAATGAAAATGCGTTGTCACCCCCGAGGACTAAGATGGAATGCCTCGTGTCCAGGGAAAAGGGTCTCAGGGTTTGGGGAATGTCTACACTCACCTTACGAAACACAGCAGCGTTGAGCTGCTATTTTACGCCTGTTATCTGTGAGAGCGTGGTCCTACCCCGGTCGAGCCAACTCATTCGTGCTACAACCATGATATAGCTGCAATATGGCTCTACCACGTAAAATTTATTATTGCAGTGCAAAAGCCTCTTCATTAACCCAGAAGAATCCATTGTTCTTGATTTTATGGATTTCACATGTCCTCGCACATATTTTATTTACACGCATAGTTTGTTACGGCACTATTGCGTCGCCGTGCTCGAGGTACATAATATGTATGTCTTTATAATTACAAATAATATATATTTGTTTCAGTACGTATTTATTGTAGGTATCAGTGTGATTTTATGTTGTATGTCAGTCCATGCAATGTTTTCGCCCTAGCCCACTACAGTACACACTTCTCGCACTAACTATTCGGTTGGCTGGTGGAAAATGCCATATGACATTTACTTGTTCGTTTGTTAGTACTTTTTACACAATAGTAATAAATAAATAAAAAATAATGAGTAATATTTATATATCACGCTTATATAGTTAGTAAAAGTTAATAAACGTAAGATACAACTATTATCAATTACAAACTGAAGTAGCAAAATAAAAGAGAAAATCACAATGTTACGAGTCATTTCCTAGTGACATCCGCCGTGCGGAACTCTATTGAGCGTCGCGACGGTAGAGTTTTATCGAATGCAATAGAAAATAAACACTACTACGTTATGACAAAATAAAGATACCATACTGTTGTAACGAAAATAAATAAACATATAACAAATTGTACAAATTATTAAACCTTTTTTGATTAGGTACATTATAACATTCTGGCAAGCGTCAAACTACGTGTTCAATTAAAATAAAAGTTAATTCAAACTTTTATTTTAAGTCTCACTGCAGAGCACAGGTTTCTAAGAGGGTTTTAGGGCAAGGAAATTTTCACCGCGCTGCCCCAATGTGTGTTGGCGAACTGCACATCAGCAACATCCCTCACGATGTTTTCCTTCACCGCCAAGCACGTGGTAAATCAGCATTTGATTAATTGCAATTAATAATTTCGTTTGTGCCGGCGGAGATCGAACCCGAGTTGCTCGCGTACTGTGAAATTTACAGCATGCGCTTAGCCCCTGAGCTACTACGGCTCATAAATGGAAAAAATATTTAATTTAATCTCAATGCTCTTGAATATTTTAAAATAAAATTTGGCGAATAGAAAATCTAAAATGGAAATACCATTTACAATGTAAGCACAGGGAGATGAAATTTTAAAATTTCAATAAAAGGAATATTCGAGAAATCTATAAGACATAATCCCGAGAGAGTTCACAGCGCCATTGGAATTCTGAGCGGTTTTAATCAGTATCAAAGGATATAGGGCAGCAAAATAGCTATTGCGTTACTAAAAGGGGAAACAGCGAATGCATGCGAAGGAAACGCAATGTAAATACTGGATTGCTAGAATGGTAGCGTATAAACAGTAAGTATTCTGAGTGGATCGTTTCTCAGAAAACGCCTAATTTACACTATTTACTCGCAATAAGAAACTGTTAAGATATTAGGCGAGCAAACATTAATACTATCTATAATTTCTGTAAGTGTATTTCGAAACGTTCAAAATTTCATAGAACCATAGTCAATGAGCGCTTCTCGTGACTAATCTAAAGAGGGTCCAAAATAAGTGAAAAGATTTGTACAAGAAAATACATTACATACGGAATATTAAATGTTGGCAGCATGTACTTATGTTGTTATCTGTTTACAAAATTATTGTTATTGGTTTGCAACGTATTACTGACACGCAGAAGAAACGGGGTAGGTTTTTTTCATTCACAGGTTTGTAGTGCTTGTAGCCAGAGAATAATTTACTTAAAATAAAATAAAAACAACACCAGAATTAAACGTATGACGATATCTTAAGATAAAGAATAAATTTTCTATAAACATAACCACGAAAATTACCTTCCTAGTGTAGTGGTGTTATCGAAAGTGAATGCCGGATGGATCCGAGTGAATACATAATGTCTATAAAAGCTTAAAAAACGCCGTCACAAGGTCTAAAATTGCGTAGCACCTACGACGATTAAAACCGCTTAGAAATTGTCACAATCTTAAAATTAATTTACTTGCTCATTATTTTGATTTAATAAGTAATCAAAATAATGAGCAAGTAAATTACGAATATTGATATTATGGATAATATGTTTGAGTGATTCCCAATCACATAGATTAAGTAATTTTGTTGTAATTTCAACTATAGTGATTTTTGGAGGTATTTTCGCAAATAATTATTTAATTATTTACTTGAACAAGTAAATTCAAGATAAAGATGACGATGGTCAAGACAATGAATTTACCTATATCAAAATTCCGGTTTCGTTAGTGGTGTCCATAGTCCAACAATATTCGATGAGGGGAGTCGCCTTAAGTGGTGGTTTTAGTAGATGTAGTTATAGTCTAGTACACTACTCTTAGGTGCTCATCAAATTTGGTAACATAATTTTTTTTGTATTCAGATTAAATATATTATTTTTAATACAAAGTTACATCCCCTTCTTTTTAAATATAAAATTAAAACGCATTAAAACACCATCTCCCTGCTAGCTGAATATGATGAAATGGATTTTATTCTAACGTTACCTATTTCATGTATTTTAACAGCAGTGAATGAGCAATATACTTTTAAGTTAACCATCAACCCTGTCGTAAAGCGACAATTAAAAACTAAATAACCTAACCTAACTACAACAAAACAACCAAAAATAAAATAAATTATTTAAAAATTTGAAAAGATTTACAGTTTCTTTTATAAAAAAAGGTATGAAGGTGATGATGGGCTGTAATGATGATAGTGATTTACAATATTATTAAAAAAAAAAACAAAAATAAAGATACTGCAACGAAGTATGCATAGGCTATGCCTATGATAGGTGCACAGCGCCTGCTCTAGGTACACGCAGAATCTGGAGAAAGCACATGCAGCGTCTGGAGAAGGTACACGCAGCGCTTGGAGTAGGCACACGCAACGCCCGGAGCAGATACACGCAGCACCCGGAGTAGACACGCAGCGTCTGGAGTAGGTACACGTGGCGCTTGAAGTAGGCAAACACAACGTCCGGAGTAGACACACACAGCGTCCGGAGTAGACACGCAGCGTCTGGAGTAGGAACACGCAGCGCTTGAGACAAGCACGCTCAGCGGCCGAAGATAGCGCGGGCACTAATAGGTGGAGGCGTAGGCGTGGCTAGGCGACGACTTCAGGAGAAGGCTTGCAAGATCCCGAGGCAGTGCGGATAAAGCCTTTAAGAGGTGCTTCTCGTATCAAAGCTGAAGTGAGGACCTCTATCGGCCGATTCTTCGGCTTTTATACTTTTTGACGGATCTGGGATAAGAACGAGAAATTATTTGAAATTATTTAAATTAAAAGCAAATTTTTGTAAATGGCCAAGAAGAAAAGAGTATCTTTGAAGTAAAAACATCAGGCCGGTAACAATATTTGAATAAAAATTGCCACGACAACCAGATAAACAACGATGTCAAAACATGTCAAATTTTGGTTTTAAGCTCGTAATACAGAAACGGCAAGATTTAAGTGAAAAATGAGATATTATTTATATAGGAAAAAAGGTAGCGCAAGAGCGCGCACGAAACCCGAAATTGTAGAGTTACGGAGAACTAAATAAAAGATCGAAAAAGGTAGACTCCATTGACACCGATTTAAAAAGTGCTGATAACGTGAAAATACGAAGTGAAAATGATTTGTTATTGTGTTCTTATGAATTAAAAATATTACAGGATCCTATGGAAATAAAGGTGATGCAAAATATCCAGTTTTGAGGTGAATGTAGAAAATCAAAAACAGAATGGAAAAATAAAAATAAAATAGTGTAAAATGATATGTAAGTATGTATGTAAGCATAACACTACATTTTCCCCCCGACCCTGGAAAATTTTTGACTCAGCAAAAATTTTGAGATGTACATTCCAAAATAAACCATAAAAACACAGCTTTGCAGTAACAGACATCACCAGGCAATATCAGATATACTATCTCTTACATTCATCATCTGCATTCAGGTAAGGGTGGAGTTCACATTCAATGACTACCACTCTAAAAGTGTGTTTTCGAAAGGACATTCAGGCTTATTTAAGGAGTTGTCATCCGCTCCTGCGTGAAAAAAAAAAACATTTTG